GATTATCATGAAATTAATATAAATAAAACGCTAAGAATTTGTACTGTACGAATTTGCAGATTCTGCAGAAACTGAATATTTTGCTTAAAAAATTCAGGCATTGATAGAGGATAGAGCAAAAAGAGTGGCAAAAACTGCTGAGAGGGAGCATACCGACCGATCATTCAGTTCCTTTAAATCCTTGCTTTTTTCAACCACTTACTGTTCTTAGTTTTTCCTCTGCTTTGCTTCATACTATTTTAGTGTGTTGAAATAGAAGCTTTTGTTCAAGTGACTGTATAGTCAAGAACTCCTCATGAGCAAAAGAGTTTTAAAGTCGCGGTTAGGGCAAACGGCAATCGTGAATTTTTACCACGTGACCAAGTTTTCCCTTTAACTGTCGTTTATTGTTTATTACTTCGGTTTGTATTGTTTTTTTCTGCTTATGTTCTGTTCTGAGAAATTCGCAACTTGAAACTGACGTTTGCCGTAAACGTGACTCTTAATCTCTCTACTGCAAATATACCTAAAAAGAGCTCAAATTCTTAACCTTTATCAAATAAAGAATGCTTGCTCCTCATGTCTGTAAAGTTCTTTTAACATGAGTTTGAGAATTTGTGAAGGCAAAAACGTCTTGATCATCATTTAATATTGTTACAATATCATTTTAAGTAATATCAATGAAATAATTAATTGTTTCATTTTAAATGCAATTAGTACCTTTAACTTTTATGTTTTGTTTTGCGATAAAGTTCGGAGCAGTTGCCAGAAAATGATGAATAGTTCATTTATTTCATTTACTTAATTATATGTATCAATTTGTTGAGTACACAAATCTTACAATATTTGTCTTAAATAAATACTTCTAGGATAAATGAAGAATTAGTCTATTTGCACTAGTTTCTAAAGGATTTTAAATAAACGCTATCATTAAAAACTGAATCATTGGATAATGCAATTCTAGAGCTCTGATTAGATTAGCCATCATGGTATATGAGCCAATGCTCTGCAAATATGGTAACTGTGCAAATTAAATAAAGTCGGGAAGAAGTGGACGTTTTTAATAAAACAATTTTTCCACTCGCGCTTGTTGGATATGAGATGATTATAGCCAACTCATATCCAACGCGCACTCGTGGAATAATTGTTAATTAAAAGAGTTTATTTTTTCAAAAAGAGGACAACGTTCATCTTATACTCTCAATAACCTCCCGTCAGTTCAGTTCCCGTGGGAACAAATACAAAAGGTTTTCCTGTAAGAAAAACTTTAGGATTGTAAAAGTCTAGGTTCTAAGCTTATAAAATCAACGACGCCCGCATTAAGATCGGCTCTTCAAGGTTGACCAAAGGCGAAAGTCTGAATTTGAGAGAGGCGGTGTAATTGCCTGGTGAAGATGTGTATGAAATAGGAATGTGTCCTGTTGGCCGCCGAAGGCTGTGGTGTAGAGTTTTTCGCTGTTTTTACCCTTCCTCCGTGGTCACCAAGAGAAAAGCCTGATTAATCAGGCTAAACCGTTGAAAGAGCCAATACTGAGTAATTACTTTTTATCATTCACAATTTTAATTGTTAGTATGCAAGTTTCTTTTGTTAGAGAAAACCCAGCTTACCCAAGAGAATGCCTGAATGAAGGGGTCACTGAGTTGAAAAGAATATGTGCAGGTACTTCGTCGATCACCAGGTGGGGGAGTGTATTTTGTATTTTCGTCGACGCGATTCTGCAGCGCGAGCGAATACTGTTCATTGACTGATAAATATTGGTTTAAGTTAAAACTTTCTCCCTGTTTGTTCTCTGGAATTTTCATTTAAATGAAATGTACGGGGCTTTTCAACTTTGTTTCTCATTAAGTCTCTGAATAAAGGGTATTAAGAATTCTTTTTATTCGGTTAACTTTTTTGTTCGTTTCATTCTCGTTTTGTGTTCGTAGAGGTTCTTAGTTCTGAAAGGAGATTCATTGTTTATGAAAGCTCTTGGGTGTTCTTGCTCAAGGGATTTCCTGAATGTATTCATGTTCTTTGTGTCACCATTCTGAAGCCAAATCAATTGAACTTGTCTCGAGGTGGAGCCGAGCTGATCTGCGAGTTATGTAGACATTTGTCAACTCTGTGCTGCTATAACTGTTTCAAAAGAAAATGCTGCCCCCTGCTCGACTGCTTCGATTTTTAAAACTCCAGGTAAACCTTTTTGTTTCTTTTCAGCAGAACTTGTTAATGTTTTTGCTCTATCAACCGGTTCCCCAGATCGATAGACTACTTGAAGAGTTTACTCTGGGGAACTTGAGGTAATTGGGTATGCGCTGCGAATAGTAGATATCGAGAAAAACGCATACAAGCCACATACTACAAGAAAGTTTGACTCGGTCATTACCTGTAGCTGGACTGTCTTATCGGTTACAGCCCATTGCAAGGACTCGTTTTCCTGGCTAAACATTAGTTCCGCGAAACAGTTTTCCCAGTCATGCGTGTCTTGTGGCATTAAAATCGCTGGAAACCAACGACAGTCAGTTCGATGCATTTTGTTAAACTTGCCTTCTTTTTAGCTTTGGTTCCTTTGCACGCGCTACACCTTGAAAATCTAACAACTACAAATCGGATGCTAAGAATTCAACCTTCTTTCAGCATATTTTCAGACTGGTACACAAGCAGTTATCTTTCCCATCAGAACGCGCCTAATCCATGAATGCAGGCAGAAACTTATTCTCATCCCTGAAAAAATAAACCAAAATACTGCCAGCTTTTGAGGTATTTCTAATTCTCTCGCGCCCTCCAGCTCGCAGTATTCTTTTCAGGAACACCACTGTTCCCTCGCAACCGAAGTTAAACAGTAGAGAATTTACTTTCTAAGAATTACTAGAATGGGTAGAACGCATTGTTAGTTTCTTCTTTCGAAACGACGTGCGTGGAAATCTGTTACTTACTGAAACAGGATCTCTACTACTTTGGTGAGTGCAATTTCTTTGACTATGTTTTCCTGTCATCATACGCTTCGTTCCAGAAATCCTCATGTGCGCGCGAGTTTAAAGATGACATTCATATGCTTAACTGAATGATTTTCCATACTTCAATCTTTCCATCAGACAGTCGAAATCGACTGAAAGATGTTTCTCACCGAATACCTGCCTAACTTATTTTTATATCCTTCGAAGAAGAATGGTCCATTTATTCAAAAATGCTTCCTTTTTTTCAGTCATTCCCTAAACTTTTCAGTCTTCGTGTCACCTCAGACTTCTTCGAAGTCATGTTTGAAATGTTTGTAAATAGGACGAGACGGAGTAGGAAATTTTAACCACTCTTCTTGACCACTCCTGAAATACCTTAACATACCATATGCTCTTTGTTTGTCACTCCAAAATTTTGCATAAGCATTGTCTTCAGTTAAACCTCTTGGAAATTAAAATGGCCCCAAGAGAAACTAAAAACAATGCTTCTACAAAATTTGGGTGACAAACAAAGAGCATTTTGGTATGTTATGGTATTTTCTGGAGTGGTCAATTATTCTAAGCTAAAGGAAAATGAACTTTAAACAGTTCGTTGCACCCTTAAGGACCCCGCAATCTCCCAGTTTGGTTCACCGTTGTTGTGATAGCACAATTCAACAATGAAAATGAGAAGATGTTCTTATTAGCTCAAGACGAGCTGCTTTGAAAAATGGTTGTGGACATGAGCATAAACATTATGCAACTTGAACAAAATAATCCCAGTGTTGAATGTTTTATTATGCACACCGATTACTTGGCCCTGTTTACAAGGAGGGAGGGTAATCCTAGTGCAAGAGGGTTACTCTAGCTGCCTTGTAAACGCTCCGCTAGGGATAACTCGCCTACCCGGGACAACTTTCCTAGTCTTTCCTCCGTCATGCGTGACTAGTAATCTTGATGATTTGAACGGAATTATCCAATTCCTTCACACCTGAACGTCGTGATCGGACGTGTGTTTTGGAGCTCTGTGAGCTCTGTGTATTTGTTACAATTTATTTCGTTTGTTCGTCGTTTGTTATGAAATCTTTTTAAGTTTTTTGGTATCCGGTGTGTGTGGAGTGGAGTAATTTGTGAGTAATTTGGGTCAGTTTATGCCATGAATTTGTGAAGAGTGATGACCTCAAACGTTATAGTTTGAACAAAAAAGCTCTCAACACAGTCCAGGATGCTGCCACCGCTCATTTTCCTTCGTGTGCCGGCTCCTCGAACTGTTATTGTCTCTGCTGTTAATTCATGTTTTAGTACATGTTTATTACGTACAGTATATTCAGTCCTTGGGTTGCTATGTGTTTTGTCCGGCTGCGGGAAATAAGCTCTTTAAAAATTTGTTATTTTGATTGATGGAGGTTAGTCTACATGAATACAGAGCAGCAATTGGGCCATTTTAATCGTTTTAAGTTTACTTCGTGTAGTATTGTTATTTTGCTCCCAATTTTATTCTTTCTTGTTATTCTTTTGGTTTTAATACCGAGCCTTAGTTTTTTATTATCGATGTCAGGTTCAGTTCATCCTAATCCTGGGCCCAACAGTATTAACTTTTTCAATCACTCATTTCAATGTTAGAAGCCCAAATGTTAATGATAAGCTGAGCGAAATTTCTGTTTTGGCTTATTCGTATGGATTTGATGTTTTTGCGTTTTCTGAAACGTGGTTGAATTCTAGCGTATCTAATATGACTCTATTCTCATTCCTGGTTATAGTTTACCCTTGGGGAAAGATAGGGTCGGGAAGCGTGGGGAGGTGTGGCAATTTATGCCAAAGATCACATTGCAGCTAAAAGACTTGGATACTCTGCTGGGTTAGAACTCCTTTGGGTTCAGTGCAGTCTTAATAATTTTGTTTTTCTTTGCGGAGTTTGTTATCGTCCACCTAATCAATCCGCGAATGAGTCTTTCAGTAGAAATGAGCTTTGATAAAATTACAACTTGCGGCCAAATTTTCTCTGCTATTGTTCGACTTGTTCTTTTAGGCGATTTCAATGCTCACTTTTATTATGGTGACACTTTACCGCCAAAGACCGATGCTAGCATCAGAGTTTTCAACCGTTTTTGGAAAGCAACAATTTATATCAACTTGTAGATAATCCAACGCGAATTACTCGGTCTGGTGAGTCCATTCGTGACCTTATCATATCAGACTCGCCTGGCTTTTTTGTTTCTTCTGGTACTCTCAGTCCGCCAGCTAACTGTGATCACTGCATTATCTATGCAAATTTTAATTTTTTTCTTCTATATCGTTAAATACAGTTGAGTCTTTCATACCATGAGAAAGTGATTATTCGACCTCGCGACAAACCATGGATGACTGGTCATATCTGTAAAGCTGTTCAAAAGCGTGATCGTCTTTTAAAAACTTATTCCAAATACAAATCACCTACATCCTGGCATCGTTATAGTGTTCAGAGGAACTTAGTAGTTAGTCTTGTCAGGAAAGCGAAGATTAATTATAATACAAAGACTAACCAAGCTCTTAGTGATCCAGCAATCATTCCAAAAAATGGTGGCGTATTGTAAAAACAATGCATGGTAATAAGTGTTACTCAGCTATCCTGGCCTTCTCTGAGAGAGATTTTTTTATACCTTTTTTTTTTATAACAAAAAGTTAACGTTTTCAATGATTATTTCGCGAGTCAAGCTACTGTACCAAAGAGTGACTCTGCTGAAATTCCTTTTCTCCCACGGTGGTCATCAGACTCCTTGTCTGTTATCTACTGAAGAAATGGTTCGTAACCTTATGTCATCTGTTAACATTTCAAAAGCTACTAGTTACGACGGCATAAGTAATAAGATAAAAAGACTATTGTATGTAGTGAGGGTCTATATAATTAAACCATTCACAAGTTTAATCAACACTTCATTTCGTCTTGGTCAATATCCAAGTGCTTGGAAACTTTCAAATGCTTTAGCGTTATTAAAAAAATGAAGATTAATTATCGCCCTGGTTCACTTTTGCCATGTTTATCTAAGATCTGTGAGAAAGTAGCCTTTTTTCATCTTAGTTTTTTATTTTCTTAGTGTGATTGGTTTCTTTTATAAGTTTCAAAGTGGTTTTCGTCCAGGGGATTCCACTATAATGCAACTTGTATATATTGTTCACGAAATTTGTGAGGCCCTTGAGGAAGGCAGCGAGATGAGGGCAGTTTTCCTTGATATAACCAAAGCTTTTGATAAAGTGTGGCATCGCGGTCTGATAGCCAAGTTAAGAAGCATTGGAGTTGAGGGGAATTTGTTAAATTGGTTTATAAGTTACCTTTCTTGTCGCAAACAAAGAGTGATAATCGAAGAAGTGCATTCTGATTGGCGTAATATCGAGGCTGGTGTCCCCCAGGGATCGAACCTAGGTCCATTAATACGGTTTCTCATTTACATTAATGATCTACCGGCCACAATCTCTTCTCGCTGTTTTTTATTTGTCGATGATTGCTTTTTGCTGGAATAAGTTCAGTCTCCCAGTGATTGTGCTTCTAAGCTTAATCATGACTTGACATCAATATCTGATTGGGCTGAACGGTGGTTGTTGATTATTATTGTTTTTTTCGGCAAAAAGAAATAAGCCTTTACACCCCTCTTTGATTTTTAACAATAGTGTTACTGAGGATGTGACAGTTCATGAACATCTTGGTTTGACCTTGTCTTCTAACCTATCTTGGCGAGCGCATTTTTAAAAAATTCATCAAAAAGCTCCCAAAAAATTATACCTCCTAAAGCCATTGAAATACAATTTGAGCCGTTATACGCTTGAGGTTTTATTCAAATCCTTAGTGCGTTCATCCTCTTATGCAAATAAAGCTCATTTTCACATCAAATATTTTACACTTGGCCTCATTTTGAAAGTGATGGTTTTTCAACTCGGAAATGGCCTAGTGACATCTTGGAATGCACGCGCAAATTTCACTCAATCCTGAGAATGCGACTGTAATATTTTGATTGTTTTCATTGCAGATTCAACGATAAAACGTCATGTCTCGTAACGGGGGTAGAAACATCTATAGCAGGATTCTAGAGGAAGAAACAGGAAATAAAGTTCAGGATGTACCCTTACGTACAACATGTACATTTGGCTGGGTTACCAGTAGACTGGGTCTTAATCAGAAGTCATGTGATGAATTTGTTCCAGGGCAACATTCAACCTGTCAGAACTCGGAAAATATGCGTCGCGCGTGGATTAAACGCGAGCGAGAGGCTTTTTCCCGCGAAACTGACCCTCAGTTGTGGAAAGCTGTTTTATCGTTTATTTCTGGTGAAGAGTACATGCGTGAGTTTTTGTTGCTTGTTATCATTGCGAGCGCCCGCATTCTTCAGCCCACCATGTTTGCCGCTGTCCTTAGTTCTGAGCCTGTTATGCTGTATGGCTCACCTCTACCGTGGATTTGTGCCGTTACCGCTGGATATTGGCTTGCAGTCTCATCCGAAGGTCTTGCACGGAGTCATTATTCCTTCTTTACGCATCTGACAAGTACATCGGTTAAATCCGGTCTGAGTGGTTTGCTGTATGAAAAGGTATAGTGAAACGCCCCTTCATGCCTCCGCCTCTTATTACGACTATGATCCGAAACGGAAACGGGCACTCAGGATTTTCGTTGTTAATTCCATCTTTTTTCGTTGTCTTAAATACTTTTTTCCCTTTGATAAGCTAGAAGCAAAGAAAGCAAGCCCAGAAAATTTTTTGGAAGTATGATTTCATTCATGTAATGGAAGATTTTCTTTTCTGTTAATTTCTGTATGGTATGATTTTCTTCATGAATATTCATTGCTCCGTGACACTGATATGTTTGATAGGTGTTGCGACTCAAAGAGACCGACTTAGCAGATTACACGACAAGTCACCTCATCAACTTGATATCAAAAGATTTGGAACCGATTGATCAGTGTTCACAACTCGTGCCATTCCTCCTCACCGCCCCTGTGGAGCTCGTAGTATTCTCTATACTGTTGAGTGCGCTGATTGGCTGGGAATCAGTTATGGGGATCGTTTATATGTTAGTGTGCACTCTCCTACGCTGTGGCATCGGCAGAGTTTATAGAAAACTTCGACAACATACCGTGTTTTTCATGGACCATCGGCTTCGCCTCCTCAGTGAAATACTTTCTGGCATTCGAGCTATCAAAATAAACGCCTGGGAAGGAGTTTTTAAGCGACTTATCAAGGATATTCGAAGGTTGGTATTTAATACTCGGTACCTTTTACCGCTGTTTACTCAAAAATAAATTCTCTGATTCGTGAAAACCAGCTGAAAAGTAAAATTGGACAGTAAAATGATATTTTCCCGGTCCCAAGCGGAAAAATGCACGTGACTCAACATATTATTATTGTATTTTTCCCATATTAGAAAGCTGTAAGCAAGCACTTTTTTTTAGCAAATGATTGTTCATGTATTCACAACCTATTTTTCTTTGAAGGAAAGAGCTGCATCACATCAAAAGAAAAGCTTTGGTTCTTGGCTCCCTGTTATCCGTTCAACATGCTGTTCCGATCATCAGCTCGCTTGTTTCCATAGCAACGCTGTCACTGCGTGGAAAAGACCTCAACGCCATTAATATGTTTTTGATTATCTTAACGATGTATATTCTTGATTCCTCCTGTGGTGAATCATTTGTCAAAGGAGTAGAGGCACTTGTAAGGACCCTCGCTCGCCTCAGGAGAATAGAACAGTTTCTGCTTTTGGACTTCCCAGTTAACTCATTCGTGGAAAACACTACTCGTCGTCCGGAGCATAGATTAAACAGGAGAGGTAGATCACATTCACACTCCGATAACGTGACTCATCATAGTGGAATCAGTCCCTCAGATAAATCACCTTATCTTTCATTACGCAGTGTTTGCTGCGAGGGTGAATATGGGCTTACTGATATCGAACTCAATTATATAACCTGCAGTTTTGAAGGCCCTCAACTTGTGACCATCACAGGGCCCCCTAAGGCAGGGGCTGGTACGTCCTTGTTACTTGGAGCCATACTTAAGGAAGTACCACTGATTCAAGGCAGTGTAGTTCACGATGGAAAGATAGTGTACGCTGGGCAGAAGCCTTGGATATTTTCTGGAACTCTTCGCGAAAATATCCTTTTTGGAGATCCATATAACGAGGAACGTTTCTTGGCCGTAATAACAGCATGCAAACTAAAGGAAGATATAGCAGTCTTGCCCAGTGCAGAAAACACGTACATTGGTGAAGGCGGAAGTGAATTGACTCTCGGACAGCGGCAACGTATAAATCTAGCACGCGCGGCCTACTCGACTGCTTCAATAATCTTATTGGACGATCCAGTCAGTCACGTTGGCACTTTACTAGAAAATCAAATATTTGATGATTGCATCGAAGGTTTTCTAGCACCTCGCTTAAAACTATTGGTCACACGTCGAGAACTTTTCCTTGCTCGATCTCCTCGCGTGTTATTCATGACAAATGGGATTATTGTAAGAGAAGGATCTTTTGCTAAGATTAAAGAGGCAGGTGATGATCTCTCTTGGCTAACAAACAGCGACAACGAGAAAGAAAGTGAGGAGAAGGCATTTAACGAACCACAGTCTAAAAGAACCCAGTCAGTTGACAAGGACCCAGACAGTGATGAAACTAATGAAAACGAAGGATTTACTGTTTACTTAACATATGCTAAGCAAGCAGGATTCTTCCCACTGCTGTTAGTTATTGGATTAATATTGGTGCCTGCACCTGGAGGTATGTATCACTCTACCCTGAGGGTAGGGGGTTGGGGGAGCTGTTGCCTGTGCACATCATTTGCGTCACACCAGAGGGTAAAATGATTGATTGATTGATTGGTTGGTTGATTAAAGAGTTATTGGATACAAGCGTTATGTTTGCGCAACGCCAGGAGGAGTTCTCGCCCCTTAGAAATTTGGTTTTAAAAGTTTCAGACAGTTCCAGCAATGTGGTGATAATTAATAAAGGCTTTCTAGGTTCGTGTTATGCTATAGCGTACACACACACACACCTCACTGGCCGAAAATTACTGGTTTGAGTGAGGCTAGGAAGTGGGCTGTCCAGATGGAAGAGTCTGGGCCTCAAACGCTTTTATCAGCACCACTGAAAAGCAGTCAGCTCAAAATTTGAGTAGCACCCATAAATCGAAGCTTAACTACAAATCACTGCAAAATACTTTTGATACGAATAGTTGTGCAACTGAAAAGTTAGAACCACCTCGTACATCACTACCGCATGAAAAAATTGTTCGTCACTTGGAAATTGACTTGACCATTTTTTTTTGGTGTATTTATTGTTCCTCTCTCTTTTCTCTTTCAGCCATCCTCGCGGCCCTCGGGCTTTGGTTTGCACGAATTGCGGGCCTATCACTGGAAAACCAGCAAGATCTTGTTCACTTTCACACGGCGACAGTCCTTGTAGGAGCGTTTCTGCTGTTGCTGCTTATAAGAGCTTCTTTTCTATTTCTGTGTGGGCTCAGATCCTCTAAGAGAATACATAAGAAAGCGATATCGTCGCTACTGAAGGCACCTGTTCAACTCTTTGAGCCAGACAAGCAGGTATGGCTCGAGAAAGATTGACAAATTTGAAATACGAACTTACACGATAACAAAGTTTGTATATTTTGAGTTTCACTCAGCATATCAACGATTCAGATAATTGGCTTAAAAGCTCTTTAGCGTCATACCCACCCTTAGGTGCAACAAGGTTTCTGTGGTTATAATCTTTTTGTGCCAAAAATTTGAAGAATTTCTACAACTAAAACATCGAGAAAGCAGCATGGCCGTGTGGATTTTGGTGCTACATGTCACTAGCTGAAAATCTTTCCAGCATTCTCGAGTTTAACTCTTATTCACCTGCCTTTGTAAAAAGCCCATAATTTGTCAAACCCCGAGGCGTAAATCACCTGATCCCTGCCCATTTTAGTCATGACGTCATCAGCGTTCATGCTTTGCAAAAAAGACGGACAAACTACTACAGAAGTGGGTATTTGGTTTGGGTAAGCGAGATGCATAAATAGTACGCATTCTAGTTTCAATTGCAACTGATCAATCGTGAGGTATTTTACCAATTCTGTCTGACAGTGTGTCAACACAAAGTAACCGTCATAGAGTGTACGGCTCAATGTAATACCGTCGATGTGTCATGCTTTTAACACAGGGAAAATTGCTAAAGACGTTTTCCAAAGACGTGGAATGTCTGGATGAGAAGCTCCCTCTTGACATCCTACGGTTTCTCCATTCGGTTATTGAACACATTGCAGCTGTTATAATCATCAAGATCACCACTCCATGGGCGATACTTGCCGCTGTTCCCGCTGCAATCATTCTGTTGCTGTTGGGCAGGTATTATCTCTGCTTAGAGCGAAGAGCAAGAAACCTTGAGAGCAGAAGTTTAAACCTTTTCCTGACCCATTTTTCTGATACAATTGCCGGAGCGGTCACGATCAGGGCTTACCAGAAGGAAATAAACTTCGAAAATGAGTTTTACAGGTTAGATCACCCCCCTTTTCCATGATTTTTCATAATAGACCTTTTTACCGATACGGTGGCCATATTAAATTAATTCGATTTAAAGAGTATTATCGGATGCCCAGGGGGGCATGAACAAGATCCGTTGTACTCGCTTAGTATTAGAAATATGGTTTTTTACTGTATATTTCTCGGGAAAAAGGCGATCATTATTTCATCCTAACACGGCACAACGATCTTTTTTTCCATTAGAATTTTATTCTGAAAGAAAACTTTAAGGTAAAATCCCCCGAAAGGCGCTCGTAAATACTAAACGGAATGCGCTCATGCCTCCCTGGGCATCCCATGATACTCCTTAAATCTAACTTGTTCAATATGGCCGCCTTATTAGTAAAAAGGTCCATTCTTATGCGCAGTGATAACTTAACAAAAGTAAAAAAACCGACAGTATCTGCAGTATGCTTTTTCCACTGTTTTTAGTCGAATTCGTTCTCCCTAACTCTTCGTAAACACCTGATGATAATGAACTGCAGCACGTCTATAAAACCCGCAACTCAAAATATGTGGACCAAAAAATACTTTATATAATTATATTACATAATGTATATTTTTTAGGTTATATGATCAGTACACGACTGCAGTATGTATGAGGTCAGCGGCTGAGCAGTGGTTAGCACTGAGACACTTGTTAGTGACGTCACTATTTATGTGCTTAGCTACCGTCATCGTTATCTTCACCAGCGACATAAGTAAGTAAATCTAGGTCAGTAAGTGGACTGAAGGATGTGTTCTTTCCCGAGACAACTCAACTCTTTCTCTCACCCAAAGTGTACACATGAGTACCAGTGAGTGTATACATGAGTACCAGGGACTGGCGTGCACCCCGGGGCATGTTTGTTTTGTTCTCCCAACACAGATCATGTGATATTATCCCGAAGAAATGTTTCTTTCAAATTTCGTCTCATTCACGTGCACATGTACGCACAATTTATGAAAAGGCGAAGAGTTTCCTCGAGAACATCATATGACCTACCTTACTTAGCTAGTGTTAAGATCATGCGCAAACAAAACATACGTGAGTGCCCAGTGCCCGCCCTCAAGTAGCCTGCGTTGAAGACTACGTAATCTAACCCCGGTTAGTAACGTTTGCGAAGCAGCGCCAACATCCTTGTTCTGGGCTCCCAACGGACACTATGAATTACCGGAAATGCGTTTCGAAATTTCCCTTCAACCTGAATGGCAAATTGACAATGGTTTTTCAGCCGGCCAATCACGGCGCGTTCTCTAGTACATAGATGGGGGGCGGTACTTTTGTTCGCCATACTATGTAGTTAAACAATCTTCACCCAAGCTAGGGCTCTCACTTCTGCGCATGACCACCAGGGAGATAAGCAGTGTCAGTTAAAACAGTGTCAGGAGCGTAAGCAGTGTGGTCGAGTATGGCGCGAAGTAATACTACAAACGCCAAGTCCACGATAGAGTTGTATTCAGTGACCTCTGCTATCAAATTATTATAGTCCCTTTTAAAAACAGTGTTTCATGGCTAGGCTTGAATGTACATTCGGCAATTCCGAGAGACTATTCATAGCAATATGTTTGCCCCACAGAAATTGAGAGGCCTGCATACACCTCGAATTTAATCTTTTTGCAGGAACTAAAGCTATTTTATGTTTTGCTTCTCCTTTTTTAGCTCTTGTAGCACTATCATTAACGTACGATAGACAGCTGGTTGTAGGAATCGCTTTGATTCCGATCCTCTTTACTGATATTGAGCAGGGCATGGCGTCAACGGCAAGACTCTTCAGTTACTTTGACCTCCATCCCGAAGTCGGTTACGATAATATCACGAACACTCCCGAAGACTGGCCGAGTAAAGGTTCTGTGAGCGTCAGTGATGGTATAATGGCGTACACCCCTGGTCGGCGAATGTCTTTCCAAACATTGACTCTGTACATGGCACCAGGTGAAAAGATCCTTGTCATAGGTGAAAGAAATGCCAACAAAATTTATCTTGTGGATAATATGCTGCTTTTAAACGAATCACGCCAAGAAGTGCTAGTGGATGAAATAGCATTAAAATTAGTCAACCTTCAAAAAGCGAGGCGTGTCTTCAGCGTGGTTCAGCGAGAACCATTCGTATTCACGGCCTCTCTTAGAACCAACCTAGACCCAGAAGGAATCCATGAGGATAAAAAGCTATGGAGTGCTCTGGAAGCTGTGCAGATGAAAGATTATGTACAGCAACTCCCCAGGCAGTTAGATTACATCATGACTCAGCCATCGTTCTTTACATATTCTCAACTGGTGCTCTCGGCCATTGCCCGCGTTCTTCTGCAGATGAGGCGTATCGTTATTTTTGACGAAATCATGTCAAATGTCAACTTAAGCACGTTACGAATGATACGCAATGTCTTGAAGAAGCAGCTAGGTTATTGCACGGTGATCACTGTTGAATATAAACCTATCAGTCTTGAAACAGTTTTATGTCACGACCGTGTAGTTGTTATGGAGGGAGGAAGAATTGTTGAAATGGATGATCCGCGAGCTCTGCTTGAGCGACAAGATAGTCTGCTGTCGGCGTTTCTGATACAAAGCTAATGAACACCATTCTCCTCCCATTGCTGCTAAGAGAGCCAGGTCGATCCAGGTAAAATAAGCTCTGCACAAGCGTCAAAATACGATATCTCACAAGATGGTCTTTGTCAAATAAACCTTCACAATTTCAGTAAAAAGGAAAAACTGAAATTTATTTAACTTACGTGGTAGTCCCAATGTACAACAATGATCATAAAACAGAAAAGAATACAGCCTGCGGGCAGGATTCAAGCCGACGAATTTTCGTGGGCTTTTACGTGAGGAGTTACCATCCGGAGGGGGGATTAAAAACGAGACGGTCTCTCCAGTCCCCACCGGGTCTTCTCCCGGCCGGCTCTTCTCACTTGGGATTAACTATCGCGTTTAACGCCACTTGCTTCCACTAAAAGAGACTACTCACAGACTGACAGAGATTTAAAAATCATCCAAGAAAACACCGAACCACACCATAGACATCGAGTCATTCCCTGATTCGTAACCAACATCTACTTGCATGACTAACAAGTGTTCGAGCTTCCATTTACAGATGCCAAATAAAATCAGTGCAGTGGTTTTCTCTGGTCAGGTTCAGTGAAACTGCAGTGTGTTTCTGATAAGGACCGAAAAACTTTTAAACAGAGGATCTGCGATATTTTAAATATTTGTTTGTTCTCAGAGTGGTGTTCTGTAAGCAACGTAACCCAACCCTTAACCAAAGTAGCCTACCTGGGAGAAAGTCAACAAAATCAAATGAACCAATGAGAGTTCAAAGTAAATATCTGTCGCTAAGGGCGGGAAAACAAAAGGAAGCAAGTCACGGCTGGTTTAAGTTTTATTTATGATTGGTTGAACAAACTGGCGCCAATATCTTGGCAAATCACAAGACGCAGCAAAGTGAGACCAAGGTAATCCCGGCACTAACAGCCATTGCTAGAAACAGGAACGGGTATCAAAAAACTGAATTCATGCTTCAAAATGAATTAAGGAATAAAAGAAAAGAAAAACCTCAAATATTGATTCTAAATAATCCTGTTTTCGGTGACTGTGATGATTGCATCCTATTGTAATTATTATAATAGATTCTCACATGTTGATGTCCCTTTATGCATATATCTGCATATTTTTCTATTCACACGTTTGTACTTCAGTAGGAAACTTGATTAGTTTAAACACACTGCCATTAAAATAGATCGTTTTCAGTCACTTGGTCAGCAGTTTTGCAAATTGCTTGGAATAAAAGAAAGTTTTAACATGTGAATAGAGTTCAAATCCCACAAGATTTTTTTTGTACACAAAGATGGCCGCCGATTCATTGTTTTGTACACAAATATGGCCGCCGTGACGTCACGTGAAAACGATCTATACGCCTCCGTGTACTTTCTTCGTTCAACAGTGACCTTGGTTATGATCTAAAATAAAATTTAAGCTGCAAATATTTTTTCTTTCTTCATAACACGTATGACCGGCCACTGAGTCAGTATTTTGGTAAGACAAAAAACAGTTTGGTGTGACTCAATCAAGGACACACTAAGTGTCTTCAAAGAAATTTGTGCATGGCAGACCCTTACTACCATATATTCACTGGAAGGTTATTCACATGTGCTTAAGGAGGTAGATTTTATCGATTTGTAAAGTTATAGTCCGGTATTAATTTTGTCCAGACGACATGTGCGACCACCAGTTAAGACTGGCCAATCAGACAAATGGTCCAACAACCGCTTTTATTTGCAGCTCTGCTGAATATGATATAAAAAGAGTAAGAATTCCCATTAATGTATGTTCCACTATCTTAAGTTTCATTTCACTTGTTTACCGGATATACGTACGAGTGAGATATGGCAATAAAAATGTCGCGAGTGGCTTCACTAAAAACAAACCGGTATTCCTTAATACACCACATAAAATGATACTGAGCCTACTTGTAAGGATTTCTGCTACTTAAAACCGGAAAGTAAAGTTTTAAAAAGCGACGACTCCTAAAATCGAAACACAACGTCGTAGTTTCAACGTACACTAAATTGCGAAAGTAGCGGAATGTCCCCAATGTAACGATAGCAGGCTCCCAATTGAGTTGATTCCTTGAAATTAGAGAACTTTTATTAGATTCTAAGATGAGAACGACTACAAGATTTTCCCAATACTAAGTAGTGCGCGCATGCGAACCAACGTCATTTTGGTGGGAAAATGTAATGGCCCTCGTCATTCTACTACGAGTTTTCGAGAGAATGTCGTAGTGGCCAAAAAAAGTTATCAAATGTCATTAGAAATTTTATCATTTGGCGATCGGGACAGGACTTTACCTCCTTCAACTTAAAATTAAATGTCGTCCTCGTAGCCGTCCTCGTCCTGGAATCTAAAGCTCTTTATTACCAAGAAGGCAACGTAGCAGCTAAAAGTTGGAAATCATATGACTACGGACGTTAAGCAAAAACGACGGTGACAGCTGTGAAAAAAGTCTCTCAGAAAAGTGAATTCGAACTCTTAAGAAACTTCATCCCATCAGTATTTCATCTCGTTCAATTTGCCATGTTCTAGACTTTTTTAGGAGTTGAATTATAAAGGAGGGACTGCATCCAAGTTTAGGACAAGGAAAAGAAAATCGTTGTCTTGTGTTCATGTCCACCATAAAACGTGAAATTACGAAGTTTGACGTGCCTGGTAGTCGCCAAATAACGGCATCTAGAGAAATGTACAAAAATCTGCGACACACGTGTAAAAATGTTCTTTTGCTACTTTAAACTTATTACTTTCTCTGCGTTCTCCTTACTGTCGCCGTCGTTCTTGCTTCCAAAAGCTCAACGTTAACGATGTTGGAGAATGGTTTGTTTGCCACCTGCCATCTTGGGTGTATACTGCGTATGGTAAAATTCCTCCAACATGGAGGAAGCTGACTAATAATATCTACTACGCTGATGCGAGTATGGTTCGGAACGGTCCTTATAGGACCTACCTCTCTTTACATGGTCACTTCTGTAAGATCTTTCTCGGCTCCTAGTCGGTCTATATTCTTGATGACCATAGTTTGCATGATTATTGTACCGATCATTATAATTATGATATGAATTATCGTAATTATCATATGTGTTACCATAATCATGACAATTAACATCTCTGCGCTCTCTCCTTGAATACATCCTTGTTGTGTAGTTCCTCGTCTGACTGTGGTATTCTGTAAAACGATTTCGATCTTGGTGTCGATAGTTTGATTCAAAGTCTTCATATTCATTACCTCGTCTTTGGGTGTAATACGGTGTAACTTGATCGATTCTGCCTGTGTTCTTACCATGTGCGACTTGCCTCGATTCTGTGTCACTGTGAATATACCTCGGTCTGCTTGCAGATGAAGTGTCCCGTCTTTTCCGCGTGTCTCGATTTCCAATACGAGAGAAGTCCTCGCTGGATAAAAACAAGAAGAGCTTAAGTTAACTACTTCTTAAACCTTTTGGTCATATTATCAAAAAAACACACACACACGCACACCAAGCACTACCTCACAGTGATACTGTTTATAACGTCGCTGTTCAAAATTGTTCTAACTCTGAAGTCCGTGGATCAAATACTGATACCGATGCTTGACCATATACAGTTATTTCGAGAAACGTTGTCGGAAAAAAATGTGAACGTGACAACCCAAAAGGTAATATGGGATATGATCAGTACTTTCTGACAATGAAGATGTCAAAGCTACTTTTGTTGCTTTCCTTTAGCACTCGCAAACATACCTCCATGGCCTCTCGTGACATTCTTTCAACTTTCTTTGCAAACAGTGAACACAAAACCACGTACAATACCTTTCGGGATTGTCGCGTGCACTTTTTCCGACAACCTTTCTAGAAATAGCTGTTCACAAAAACCAAAGAACAGTGTATTCGGGTGGTATTGTGCTGATTAGCCAATGACTATACACTGTAACACAGCAATTTCCGTTGGTGTTGATTGTTCTTCACAGCGGAATTTATGTTGTCCCTCGTGGTGCACCAGTAAATATATGACATTCCATAAACAGACATAAACAAATTCACTTTATACATGTAGATAACATAACAAATTCACAGGCGTTCCCGAGTGGAGAACAGCGAGACAATGATGCACATCACCTGTCATTAAAGTTAAAAGTTTCACGTAATGATTAACATTCACTCCCTAGGAACCAGACGTCTGTATTTCGATAAAATTTGTGCCCAAAAGAGGGAGGGAAGCAGAAAACGGGCTTCGCCTATCATTTGTATTCTTCCCATGGCCCCTTGCGCTTCATCATCAGTCACTCGCATGTCACTCGCATTTCGCCCTCGCCTCTGTGCGAAAAAAGAAGTGCCTGAGCAGGGGGGAGTTTCTAAAAACTGTCATCTAATGAAGCTGAGAATATTTCAGAATTTTGAGGAACACTCACTTTTTAGGAGTCTTTGTCTTAAGGTCATCCAGGTAATTTTCTCTTTCCATCTGATAACCTCTGGCATCATTAAATGCTAAAAAGGAAAGAATAAGTTCTATTTATAAATTTGTTTTAAGATCATAAAACAAATAAATCTTACATACGAAGATCCCCATTAGCTTTTTGGGGTTCCTGGATTTCTCTAATTCGATGGCCCGGAAAGAAGAGGAGTGACACTCGGGAGTAGTACATCTTAATTATTAAATCTGGGATTATTTAGCGGCAAACGGAACACGGGATTTCGGAGAACAACAGTGGCGCAGTGTTGAGAACCAAACTCACCTCCCACCGATGTGACCTGGGTTCCAATCCCAGCGTCAACGCCACATCAGTTTGTTGTTGGTTCTCTCCTTTGCTCCGAGAGGTTTTTTTTCCAGGTACTCCGGTCTTTTCCTCTCCTCGAAAACCATTTTTTTTACAAATTCGAATTCAATCTGGTACGCACAGACACGTTTAAACGAGTTCTTAAGAACTCCTGAGTGCTTCGTGGGTGAACAAATTGCAATTTACATTTTTTGTTTTTTTTTTCGCGCTTGTGTGAACCGGGCAATCGGGAGAACCGGGATGCATTTTATCCACACCGAGCCTGTCAGGTGGATAAGGGGCGATTACCGTGTCACTTTTCTTTCCGACCATCTGTCATTGGCTCTCTGAACATGAAGGAATCAGGCTGTACCCTCCATAAACCACTTACTATAAACCGTATATACGGAATCGGGATAACGTGTCGGGATTGCGGGACTGGGAAAATTTCTGATGGGATTACTGGGATTCAGAAAACCTATTCGGGTGGGGGTCTTCTCATCAAGCTTGCTTTGGAACAAGATAAGATAAGATAGCCTACATAGCCGTGCATGAAGCAGGAAACAAACTCAAGCAACCACAAGACCCTCAAGAAAGTGTGATTACTGCACAGACTAAAGGAGCATGACTACCTCTAACCTTTGATGGCTTTTTCAGGCGTGTATCCTCTGCATTCAATAAGATATCTAAGTTGAGAAAATACCAAGCGGAATACTGAATTGCTGATTAACAATAAGTGACACTTATATGATATGTACAAACCTTGCCTTATGGTTAATAATTTTCACGGGACTTAATAACGTTTGCAATGTTTGTGATGTTTTGAAATTCGTGAAACTGAAGACCCGCGAAAAATGGTTTTAACAAAATTAAATGACAGGAATTTGTTAATACCCTACTATATAATTGTGTGTACACAGTTATCACACAATCCATTTCTTTCTGACTTGTTGTAACTCGTCACAACAAGCTTATACTTGTTATTTTTCTCTGCTCCTTGTTGTGGAACAAAAACTAGCCTGTGAGGTGGGGGGGGGGGGGGGGGGGGGGGGAACAATCCAACAAAAAAAGCGAAAAAAAAAAGAAGAGCGGATTTGGAGATCCCCCAGCACAAACAAGATACATTGGTGTTTTCTATCCAAAATAACCCCTTTTTCTAATACAAACAGAGTGCGTAGTGTTTATTTTGTTTTGTTTATGTGTTAGCACTCCTACTTCCTTCTCTTTCTCTTTACTTCTGTTTATTTACACCCCTTACCTATTTTTTTTTTTTTTTTTTTTTCTCCGGGGGTGGTGAGAAAGGAGGAGGGGGGGGGGGGGGGGGGGGGGGGGGGGGGGGGGGGGGGGAATCTGTACACAAAAAGCGACTAAACAAAAAGCGACTGGAGTTTGCAGTGCCCATCTCAAACAGATGATCTTCGGTGCTTTGTATCCATAAATACCCCTTCTATCAGAAGAAAACAGTGGGCAGGTTTTTTAGAAGTCTCGCGAAATACACCCATGTCCCCATATCGCAAAATTAAGTTCCTGCAAATATACTGTAACAATTGTAAGTACTCTTTTTTTTAAGTGTGAAGAGAAATAATTATTTCTCACTTATCTCACCTGCAAACAATGTAGCCAGCTCTGTTGAGTCCATGAGTACAGTGTACTCCAACAAGATCGCCTGAAGAAATGGCAAACAAACTGAGTCTTATTAAAACATCTTTGCTATTTTGTATTGATTTGCAATTTTACAGATCAATTTACTACTAGTACTTCACTATAAGTCGCAGGTGAAAAAATGAAGTGAAAAGCTCACAGGAGAAATATTAACAGATACTAAAGAGATGAAGCAGGGCTGTCACTAAGATTTCAAGTTTCCGGGTAAATACAACAAGTAGGCTGGGAATCAAGCAGCTAGGGATTTCTTTTGGTTCTATTTTTCTTCTATCTTCCTATGAAAGGAGCCCGGGGCCAAGTTCTTAGTAGCCGGGGGAAATCTTGGGTCCCTCCTTCTTAATGACAGCCCTGTGAAGATATAATTTTATGCTAACATAATATTGTTACCTTTAGTATTATTGGCCATGAACGAACAAACTTCAGTCTTGAATCTGTGCAAGCAATTAAAAACAACATAAAATTTACCTACGTTTTACTTTCAAAATCAGTTTAGTGTTTTACCAGAAACATGGATTGAGCACAGTCAGTAAGAATATTATGTCATTCTTAATTTCAAAACCACTTTTACCAGTATGTTAATTGTCTTGGAATGGGCAAACACAAATAACGTATTTTCACGATTAAATGCCCACAGCGGTTATTTAAAAATCAGCAGTTTTGACCCGGTGTTTTTTTTAGGCTGGCGTTTAATCGGGGTCCAGCGTTTAATTGAGAAAATACGGTATATAAAAATTTAAATCATGTTTTCCAAGAAAAATAAAGCCCCAGTTACGTTTCATGAAAAAAGTATAGGGGACTCCCATTACAGGCTCAAGAGGTGCAGCAACCCATCGAGGCCATGAGTTTTTTAACTTGTCAGCTGACCAGTTGACAATTTTCCATTTTATGTTAATCTTTTGTGGAAGTATTTTGAAGTTTATGTGTAAAATTTTAAAAGTGTATTGTATTGAGTAAACAGTTAGTTTGAAGGAGCTCAAGGCTTAACAAAATTTAGATATTACCTTCTCACTACATCCTCATTTGGTATTTCTTTTCCAATACATTTTATCTTACGATATTCAATCCCATGATCATAGAACTCCTAAGAAAGCAACATCAACAACAACAACAACTTTATTTCAGAATTCCCACGCGGGTACATGGTATTACCTACATTATTTATGTTATAAATCTTAACTCATCGACATGTAATTTTAGGAGCTACATATGTATGACTAGAGCTGTCAATGACACTATAATGCTATCACAACAACTTTAAACACCTCACACCTCTACAACACTGCAGAGGAGGTACAATTCAGTAAGCTACTTAGCATTTTTCATCTCTGTTCATTTGGCCAAGCCTAACGATAACTACTTCTGATTTGCTTTTAAAAGCTTTTAAAATGACATTATAAGGAGGTCTGAAAATAATAACATTGCAAAAATGTAACAGGTAAAGTACATCTCAGTGAGTCAAAAGCTGGATTGTTTATTTTTTTCTGTAATTTTACCTTTCCGTTGTAATATCTGAAGGTATTGGTAAAGTCTATCACCATCCCCAGTTTCAGTTTTTTTCGTTTAAGATGGTTCAAAAGATCCATAGGGGTGAATCTTAAAGGAGAAAGTTGACACACAGTTGTTTAGTCACTGTTGCACTAGAAAGGTGCAAGAATAAAAGAGGTGAGTATGGTTAACTTATGAGTTTTTTTGGCACTCTAACAGCTTGCTTCTGAAAGAGGTTTCATGATTATGAGTCTTCATAGCCAATAAGATCACGGCTTAACTGACAGACGACCAATAACATCGCGACGTAATTGACCACTCTGATCAACAACCACAGTATGATACCATCAACTGATGTGATACAACTTACTTTGACTCTGAAGATGACTATTGCACAGGTTGTTGAAACGTCAGTCACTTTCAAAAACAACAGTCCTATTTAGGACTATGATCACCTGGATGATCAAACTCAACCTACTTCTGAAATGACTCCTGGGTTCAACCTTTCACAAAGTTATTAATATTGATTGACCTGGAAGAATCATGGCTGAGCAGTTAGAGCGCTGGACTTGTAATTTAAAGACCCCGAGTTCAAGTCCTGCTCTGACCGCTAGCTGGATTTGTTCTCTGTAGTCCTGAGTTCAAATCCTCAGCCACTGTTGAAAAATAGTCAACTGGTTGGGATTTTTATCCATGTTATGTTCCATTTAAATCATTTGTTTGTTACCCCTGAAAAGCCCCATAAGGGGAGAGGATAATTAAAGTATTATTACTACATCTTATATTATAAATATTGATCAATGTACCTTTCAAATGGTTTTATTCCATTGTCAATGTCACTTTCATTGTCATATTTCTGTTAAGAAGAACAAAATTTTCTAAGATTGTTCTTTGATCAGCTTAAGGAGGTTGCACATATAGCAAGCCTTAAGTATGCTTTTTTGCACCCTACATGGCAAATGTAAAACCAGTGTCTTCAATAGATTGTTAGTCTGATCAGCAAGACCCACCCACCATTCTGGGAAGAGTTACAGTGAAAGCCTGCAATACAGTGGCAAGTGTGATGATGATGATGATGATGATGATGATGATGATACTGCACTGCAGGGCTTAAAATAAAGGCTGGTTTGCGGTAAATGTCTGGTCAAAAATTTGTTCGGAAAAGTAGTTTATAAGTCCTTACACTCGAGAGAGGTGTCTTGAAAGCAATGATCCTTTCGCCACTGATTGGAACTCCACATGAATCATAATCTCTCCACCTAAATCAAAAGAGTAGAGGATCAACCTAAATTGTTACCAACACAATTCACAGTTTTACAATATAAATTGTTTACTTACCACCACACACTAGTGAAAGCCATTTCCATTTTGTAAATTATGTACATACCATTGCTAAACCCCAGGGTGGCAAGGCAGGAGGGTGGGGGAGGGTACACCCAAAGAAATTTGAGCCCTTTAAATGAATCCATGTCAAATAATAATTAATAATAATTATTAACGCCCCAAAGTAACGTTTCTGTTTCAGTAAAGTAACAGACCAGCACATGCTCTCAGTGTATGATGGATAATCAGGGAAACAGTGGGAAACTTGGGAATTCAAAGTAAGTAAACTCTTCTGGCTGAATTCATGTATTTGGGACTTTTTTTTGAAAACTCCAACACGTGACTACAAAATTGCAACACAATGAAGCTGGAAAGTAGAAGATTACTTAAAATAACTACTTTCACTTTGCCCATAATTAAACTTGTTTCCCTCCCAAAAATTTGCATAAGCATTGTTTCCAATACCCAGGAGAAATTGAAGACAATGTGCCTGGAAAATTTGGCAGGAAAAAACAACGTGTATTATGGGTTATCTGAAAGTGAGGGGTAGTTTTTGGAAAATTTGATATACTCCATATATTATAACAGCAACATTCTCCAACATAATTTGGTAGCATATTTCACATGTTACACTTTTCAATGAGAAAGTCCACAATTTATCTGTTCAGAGACAACCTTCAGATTACCCACCATGTTGCACTGAATACCAAAGTGTCTGCTGAGGCTATTTTTCTTGGTCCACTTGCCCAGGACTAGTGAAACTTAGTTAGTTATGTGGACAAAATACCCAATAAAGTAGGAGCTTGGGTGAGAGAAAGCATAGGTCCGCCATCTTCAATTTTTTCATGTAAGTTCACTGAAGGAATGAAGATATTTACAAGCTTTTGTGACAACTTATCCTCAACATAGAGTCCTTCAACAGCCAATCATTCCTAGACAGATTTTCATCGTTTACCTGAGGACAACACATGGCATGAAGAGGAAAAGAAGTGCGATGAGTGGCCAAGAAGTTTTCAACCAAGTTGGAAGAAAACATATCCTAAGCTGCAATTCATTGAAGGAAAAATGTGCTCTGAAGTGATGCGAAAATTATAGGGATCAAAACTTACCTTTTTGAAAATTTCAGCCAGAAAAAAGGGTCCTGAAAATTCTAGGTGATCTTTTTAGGGTAAAAATCCATTAAAAATGGGCAATTATACCATTTTTAAGATTTTCGAAAATCCTAGGGGAGGCAGACAAGCAGGAAATTTTGGAAAAGGCAAGCAAGAAATTTTACAACAAATGTTCCGAAAATTCTAGATCTCAAATCATCTTCCGAACAGATATTTTACGAAAATTGTTGTTGGGTGCCCCTGATACAGTAGCGATCAGAGATTAGCAAATTTGAACTCATTTGCCACAGGAACAGACAATTTCTGTTTGGATGCAATAAGAAGTTATGAAAGTTCTGTACCCCACTTTTTCTTTTTTTGTACCAGTAGCTTAAAGTGTCCAGAAAAGTTAGTGTCGAGCAGTGATCTAGCTCCTGCCTTAAGAAAACTTACCAGTTACTTCGTATCCAGGAGTGAAATTTGGATGATTACCGGATACATTGTATTTTGGGGCTGCATGGGGGAAACCATTTCCAGGTCATAATGTATCATACTGTATCAAGTAAAAGTTATTACTTAATTGTGATGGTTAGTTATCAGCTATCATATTTCAATCCAGCTGGATTTTCCATCATATCACAATACAGGTATAGTAGAGAGCAAAGCAGAAGGCGGCTTTCAGATGAAACTACATAGAAGATATACTGTGCTTCTAAACTCCTTGAGACACTATCGTATAAATTTTATGGTGGGTGCGATTTTGCTTGCGAAAGCTTTTCTTTGTTGCTAATGTGTGGACCCTCATGCAATATCTTAGTTTTTACAACTACGCAAAAAAGCCTTACCAATAACCACACTTACTTATCTGGGATCTTTTTATCGATAAACTCTTCTGAAGTCATGTTACTGCTAAAACGCGAAAGATCTAAACGTAAACCGGCGATAAACACAACTCTACCCGGAAGCGAAAACGAAAAGCGAAACATACCAGGCACGTGAACACACAGTACATCTAACCAGCAGACTCACAACTTTACTCATGCTTACCGTAGCTAGCGTCCAAGCTCCCTTGTCGATCTTTGGTCACGGTCGCTCGTCTTCCATGTGAAATCTGATGTTAAATTCTGTGGAAAAGAACTGCAAAAGTAAGCACGAATTTTTGCCTTTTCAGGACTGGGTTTGCCTACAGAAATAACACAAGAAGGATATGATGCAACGAGCACCTCAACCAAGCTGTTTTGACCGCGTTAAGGTTGGATTTATGATGGGGTTTGCAATTGGAATGAGCTCGGCGGCACTGTTTGGAACCTACTCCGCTCTAAAGTAAGACAAATCATACGGACCTTTCCTAGTCATAACTTAATTCATTAAATGAACCTTGGATGAATCTGTTTTTTTAATATATGACATTGAAGGGGAGGGGTGGCGGATAGTTTGGCGATTCATTGGAGATCACCAGGTGTCGAAGAGTGACATTTCATTCCACTGATGCAAATTAGTAATTGTAACAGCACTGAGTGGAGTCCAATTTGTAATGGTAGCCGGACTGAGTGGAGTCCAATTCGGTTTGTAATCATACGAGTGATTAACAAAATCAGACGACCGCGTAGTGGGAGTCCGATTTGTTTAATCACGAGTATGATTACAGACCGAATTGGACGACACGAAGTTTCGTTACCAATTAATCATAACTTTAACAAAATTTGTGAATAAAAGGCCCTTTTTTTAATCAGCACACAAGAAATTCCAAGTTTTTTTGCTGGCAGTGAAAAAAAAGCCATTTTAGCGTGCGCAAATGGCGCATACTGTCCAATTACTAAGGCATGATGCGTACTGTCCCATTAAACTGTCCCATTAAGGCTGAAATCAGGACAGTTGATAGCCAATCAGATTTGAGAATTTTGTTACAGTTATGATTAGGCCTGTAATCATACAAGTGATTAACAAAATCGGATGACCACGTAGGAGGAGTCCAATTTGAAAAAAAAATGACTTTTTCATTTTCCCTGACGGACTGACGTTAGTAGTGGTTCAACCATTACAATTTTAATCATTGTAGTGCAAAATGTTAGTCACCAAGAATATTTAATAGAAGTTATGACACGATCGCTTTTGACATTTGTCATATTGAAAATAATAATGGTGTTAATTGATTTCAGATATGGACTGAGAGGAAGAGAGCTGGTCAGCAGTATAGGAAAAATCATGCTTCAAGGAGGTGGAACATTTGGAGTATTTATGTCTGTTGGCACTGCTATCAGATGTTGACTTTAAGATCACAAACTTTGACAGAACCTGAAGATGATGCAAAAAACTGTATTTAAAAGAGTGTTCTTTCTCCAGTAGACTGAAGAAACATCAGAGCAACAGTGGTTAAAGTTATTTTGTTTGGCTGATAAAACCATGTTGAATGCAGCTGATTTAAATAGGAAATCCTACTCCTCAAAAGGGACAATTAAAATAGTAATTTTTAATGTACTAGTGGAATCTTATCTTGGTATTGCAAAGTTTAATTTTTTTCGGTAATTATAATGGCATTTGAAAATGCAACTCTGCCAGAGAAGTCACACTGAAATGCAAGGCTGTCATTTTCTAATTTATCCACTTTAAAAAGTGTTGCAAAGTTCAGTTTTTGGTGGACAATTTAACCAGATTACTCTGTAAGGTATAGCTAAGTGTAAGAATAAAGTAATCTGGTGTGATGTGGATGGGGCCTGAGTGAGATATTGATTATAAAATGCAGTTGGACCTTCAAGTCCAACCATTTGGACTCTCTTTTAGCATTTTGAGTAGCTGCTCACAATAGGACAACTGTGTCACCAAACAGCTGTGCAAAGTCAGTGGCCAATCAGAGCATAAAGTGACTCCATAACAGAAATGACCATGATCTTGTTACATTCTGTTCATCTGTCAGGGCTTATTAGCCTTTATTAGAAGAAAGGATTAGTTTTCAGAGTTGTTGGCGAATGAGAAAACAGTCGAACCTCTCTAATACGGACACTGAAGGGACATATCAAAGTGTCCGTATTAGAGAGGTGCCCGTATCGAAGAGGTCACTACGATGCGTCCCCTTTTTAAGTGTTCAGTAGCTAAAAGCAGGCTCACACTCGTCTTTAAACTGCATTTAAATTTATTAATTCACAGAACAAAGAAACTGTCATTCAGTAGCATACAACATTGTAGATCTCAGCCACAAATTAAGTTCAGTAGTAGACAAATCACTGTTTTAACATAAAACTAGGGTATCTAAATGATAGTAATGCTGCGGCACATTCTGTTGATACTGGCATTAGTTACGCAGTGAGACTTAAAAGAATCAAAAATGACATTGAATGTCCTATTTACTATTTATTTTGGAAAGTACTAGAATAATTACTATCAGTCTATAGAAAGAACTCGTGGGAACGTTGTTTAGAAAATGATCAAGTGGTTACCAACTCTGGTTTTCCCACAGTAAATTGTAGGAAATAATAGAAATTCAGATTGTTTATCCATATATTTAATATACGGTGCACGATATTTTCTCTGGAAACACAATACTTTTCTCGCTGTTTGTTGCACTTTATTAAGTAACAGTTATTTAGCTATATATTTATAGAAAACAACAACAGAAAAAACGAAAAAAAAAAGAAAGTAGGAATAACTAATTCGATAGGACTCGAACCCGGCACCTTCGAATTGACGCGACTACACTTAACCACTACACGACAGAGGCTGCTTACGTAATCTCTAGTAAAAGCCTTTAGCTTTGTTCCTTTTCCATGAAACTTCCGCCGGCAAGATGATCGCCAGCCGCATTAACCGAGCTATTAACAGTGAAAAAACAATGTAAACGCATATTCCACGGCAATGAATGAATGAAAGAACATAATTATGCTTTTCAAAACGCCGATACACGTCCTCGTCTACAAAGTAGGACACAAAACATATGTTTTGTTATCTCGATTTCCGCTGTTATTTTGAAGCGAATGGTCAAAATCACATCCATTTTCGGCTCATACAGTTTCTTAAGAATAGCATTGCATGACATTTTCTCACTTTCACATCACCCTCTAGCAAGCTGGAATTTGTATATCCCCCGTGTTGCGGAGTCCAAGAGCAAATGCTCATCTTCTCGTCAGGTTTAACACCTGGACGAGTCAAAGGCTCTTGAATTGAAATCCAATCCCCAAGTTAACCATCGTACTCATCTGAAAGACTCCTGCGTGTCTTAAAATTTGGTAAGACCTCTAACCGTGCTGTAGAAAATTTGCCACAAAGAAAACTCTAAGTCTGAGCAGCGAACGATGCACTCTCTTACCAACAGAACTTCCCCGTGTTTTTATTTGAGTTGTTCGTGGCGCAATGCACTCTGGTTAAATGCAATGCATTGTGGTAAAAAGTGTGGTTAAATGCAATGCATTGTGGTAAAAAGTGATGAATTCGAGAATTCGTCGCCCCTTATATATTTCCTTTAAATCCTGATTATGTTGCTGCTCGCTCCCTTCGGTCGCTCCGCAGCAACAAGCTACCGCGCAATGCTTCAAGTAACAAGTTGTAACGTATAGCACAATTCTGAAAGCGTTTGCAAGTGCAGTTAACAATAACTAGAACACAAAATGTAATAGAAAAGATCTTTATGCTATCTGCAGTTATTCAAGCCTTAAAAAAGTCGGTTATGTTCCTCAGTACACCTTTACCAAATCGTTGTTTCATATATAGCGACTGGGTTTTTGAAATCACCTTGCATAGCTCATCAGCCAGACAGCATTTACCCTGTGCAGATTCACCTGACCGGGATTCGGGATTCACCTGATTACCGCAGTGTCCGAAATTAAGAGGTTAAGTTTAAATGAATTTACTCTCTGGGGCCGAGATTTAGTGTCCCGTTGTCCGTATTAGAGAGAGTCCATATTATAGAGGTTTTTTTTTTCAAGAAAATATGTGAGAATTTTGTGAGGACTTTGGAAACTGTCCGTAATAGAGAGGTGTCCGTACCGAGAGGTTCGGACAGGACAGGACTTACATTCACTGTAAATCCATATGACACTTCAATAATTTAATCAATGGAGTCTCTAAAGATACCAGTTGCAACCGGCCGAAAAAACGTTTATGGAACCTAGGGGTGACCAAGTTGAAATCCAGCACTCTAAACCACTCTGCAATATTGCCTCCTTGTTCAAAATAATGTTTCTTCTTTTTCTAGAGCTGTTTTGTATAACCACTCAGTGGTCAGTGGTGGTTGTTTTTTGTCTCCTTGATGAACCCTGACACATGCACAAGTTTTGTATCACGCCTTTTTGATACATTTCACGCCGGACTTAACATGCACAGCATGAAATGTAACTATAAAGGACATGGGAAGTTCGACGTATGTTTCATCTAGGATCAACAGATTTAGCTAAATTTGTGTTTGGGTCGACTTCACATTCGACTTAGCTTAACAGAGAAGAAAAATGAAATGTTATTAAATGGAAACCAATTGTATAGATTTCGTTTTGTAGCAGCTTTAATCCTTGGTTAGCGTGTCAGTTGTTTAAGGGTGATTAGTTGGTGGCGAGGTGACCAGATTGCGAAAAAAGCTATTTACATTTGTTTTGGAGTGGAGACTGAGGAAAGCCATGATAGAAATGCTTGCCAGCTTAAAAAAAGTCGGGTTGGCTTTCTCAAGGATCCATCTATAGCCAATGCCTCAGACAAACCGGCTGGGACTACTGTAAGTTTTCCACTGTTGTCAGGATTTTAGTTGCCATTATTTTACTTACTATTAATTTATTTTATTTGCCACATAATAGTAGAAAATGAATTACAAATAATATAGGAAAAGTAGAAAAAAGAAGTGTCGAAGAGACCTAACAGAAACTTACCCGGCGAGCAGAGGCTACATTTTTGCGGTATGAGCTGGCGTGCGGAAAGTAGCTACTTTTCGCACGCCATCTCATACCGCGAAAATGTAGCCTCTGCTCGCAGGGTAACAGAAACTATGGGAACTTATGAGACGTTAGGCCTCCTCGAACTACGGGCTGGAGCTGTTTAACATCAGTTGAAGAAAAGATGGCGAAAAATCGAAGAGGCAAGATTTATGATCGCTTTTCGTATTTACTAAATTATTTAATCTTCGGTATTTTCTTAAAGGAGGGAAAGTGAATTAAAAACTCAGGTCCTTGAAAAAAAGGCGAGAACTTCTTAGTGTTTGTTCGACAACACGGTAGACGGTAGGTACCTACCGTGTGGCATGAAATTTTTGCGGGAGTTTAATTTTGCGGATTGGCGATTTTTTGTGTTTTGCGGGAACTAATTTTTTGCGATTTTCAGAAAGTACCCAGTATTGATAATAATTTCGTCTTTATTGAGTACTTGCAATAGAAATACATATTTTCAAACAATAAACCAGTATTTCGTGATCTTTCGTTTTGTTTCTTAATGAAACAGACAAGTTGTGATTGAACAGACACGATTTCTCAGGTACTGTATTTTGGTGTAGCGAATTTAAGTTAGAGAATATATATCTACTCTGGAGTAAATTTTTGCGGGAAAAATCGCAAAAATTAGAACCCGCAAAAATTTCTTACCACATGGTATGTGTGGTTGTGAGTCCTGAGCATGCACTGACTGTCACTCAACAGCACTTATAGTAGGATGCTTCAAGCAGGCAGTCCTGAACACCAACTGGTAGAGCTGTCATCTGACCAATGAATTCCGTTATGGAACCCATCACAGACTCTCCAACAAAGTGGTCCGGCGGAGACTGGCTCCCACAGGTCACAGACCTGCCCGCAGGGGACTTGCTATCTGGGAGCCCCTCAACAAACAAAGGCATTGTTGACGTCCCTTTTCTTGTTGACACCTTAAACGGGATGTGGGCCCTGCTGACTTGAAGTGGAGAACTGGGCTGGCTGACAAGCTAGAAGAGGCGAATGATGGGAAACTTGGTGCAACACTGGTCGATGGACAGGCAAGACACTGGTTAAAAACCTGGCTTACGCGAAAGCAGAGATGGAGGCCCAGATTCCTTCCTCAGTCGTATTCTCTCATTCACGAAACACGACAAGCCGCAAATTCCAAAGCTTTCACGTGCAAACTGCGTGACAATACAACTCACCGTAAGAGCCTGATCACATGAGCCGGGGAAGCAATGCGCATGAGCAGTGTGTTACTCACGGTCCTGTTTCTCACTTGGTTCATTTGCCGGGCCGCCCGGCAAGCGTGATTACTTGGAAAATTTCCACCCGGGATCCCGGCATCACTATACTGGGATCCCAGCCAACCGGGCTGGCTCGGTTGTCATGTAATCGCAAAGTTGATTTTTGTTGCGTTTAAGCTCGCGGTACATCGACGCCTAAATATACGCTCCCACAGCGTCTTGTTTAAGGTAAGAAAGTGGTCGACGATTCCATTTCATCTCCGGGGGGTACTCCCCTATAAAAGTGACGGGGGTGCTCGTCGTACCTTTTAGGGGTTTAAATTTGTGGATTGGTACCGCTTAGGGAGCTAAAACCTAAAATGACTGATAAGGATAAAGATTTATGACAATACTTTCAAAAAGTCCTCGAGAAGAAAGTGTTCAAAAGTTATTTTTATTACTGTTAAAATTTGCATTGCCAGTTATATAATTTGTTACCTCTTAGGGGTCGAAATGAACTTGGGAGACGCCCATAAAACAAGATTCTGGTACTTTTTAGGGGTGTTCTTGATTGACATTTTCTGACGAACACCCCGTCGCTTTTATAAGGGGTACCCCTCCGGGTTTTATCTTATTAATTTAACTGTACGATACAGCCTGGCCTAAGGCAAAAAAGGCATTTATTCTTCTTCAATTAATTTTCGACATTTTATTCATTAAAGAAAATAATAGTTCATTACGGGGGGCGGTCAAAACCCGACCACACACAAGGACAATTGATATAAATAATAAACTGAAGAATTCAAAATTATAAACATTTTCTTTGTCAGCAAATATTTAGCAATGGGAGACTCAAAATAACTGATTTGCGTTGTCATAGTATTAGCGACATGCAACAAAATTAAACGTACTTTTCATATAACTGTGACAACTGAGGGATGAAATTAAAAAGCGGTTAAATTAGCTTTTGATTGTTAGGTGATGGGAACGGAAACTGATAAAAACTGAAGGTAAATTAAAGACAAATGCGCCATTAGATCATTACATATTTTAGAGTGAATGTGTTTAATTCATTGCGTTCACTATGCATAACCAAGTGGATAGGCCTGACCATTTGTCATATATATCGTTCGACCGCTCCACATAATTTGATTGGTTCTCTACGCGGTCCTTTGAATGCTAGAGTTTCCTGAACTGTGGTTTGGAAAAAGAAAAATGTATAATAATATCATATGATGTAGAAACGTCTTGCCGTGTTTCTTTTCGCGATCTTGTAAAGTGACTGCAAACGCTTGGTGCATTTTACCTCAGAATGAGGGGCGCAACGTAAATCCAGCGATCACTTGCCTTTGGTGACCCTTCAGTTTTCAGTACAATTAAGTATCTTGTTCGCTTGTATCTGCACAACAACAAATACTGTTCTTGCGTCTTACAAATTTATGACGGCTAGGTCCATAAAATCGATGAAAAAGAAAACATTGAACAATATATGCTGATGTGAAAGACCACCTGGAAGAAGGCTTATGGCACTGAGCTATTTTTAGTGTGTTTGTTCTTTAAATATCCTTCATTTCATATCTGTCAGCGAAACAGAGACAATCTCCTTAGTTTTACTTTCTTTGCTTTTGAAATATTATGCCCATCAAAACAAAAAGAACTTGTTTTCCAGGATTTTTCATTCTATAAAAATATGCATTAAATACAATGGAAAAACTTGCGAAAGATTTATGTTGACCATCTGCTCGACTCCTTACTGTATATTAATTCTGTAAGGTCAGGGCGTAATTTGTTCTTTCTTCAGAAGGTACTAGAGAAAAAAAATTCATTCTACGCTTGAAATATTAAATGTTTAAAGAAAGCTCTATCACCTGAATTCATTTCAATTCATTTCTAATGTTGTCAAGTTTTCTGAGTGGAAACTATTTTAAGCATGAAATATTTTCCTTTACCAATATCAGTCCTTTTGTTTAATGGTGTATTTTTCTTCCATTTTCCCCCTGCTATGGTCTTAAGCGTTCCTTTTTCTATATCTTTTTAAATGTTTCATATTTTGGGTACAACGTTTTCTCTTCTCTTTTCGTATGTTTCTTTCTTTTGAAGTTAAAATGAAGAGTTAAAAAAATCCTACCCAAAATTAATTTGCATTTTGTGTTGTTGTCACTTCGAGGTAAAACAAAACTTGAAAACGTAGCCACAATACACTGTAGTATTCTGTTACAATAATATATCATTTTACTTCAAACCAGGCCATTTACAGTATTGCAAAAAATGGTCAGAGTCCCTTTGCCAAGGTCTTTCCGGTTTGGCCGCGCTAGTGAACTGGGGAAGAGGTTCTCTTTTTTATCAACAAAGATGGTCTAAGTGTGAGTGCTGTCTTGACCGGCTTTGGTTTGAATTAACGACGACACATTTCTACATAAATGCTGGTTAAGAAGAGACAGTAATAGCAGCATGCCCTTGTTGCTGTGCTATTGTACCTATGAAAGGACAACAAGAGTTAGGAAAGCGCTGGGAAAAGTGCCATGAATTTCGGCTCGGAAAGCAGCAACCATGGCAGCGACAACGCGTTTCAACGACTTTCGGTTACTCAAATCTCGCCAAAAGATTTGGACAAGAACTTCACAACTCTTCAGAAAGTGTTCAATAGCGTGAATCCGGCTAAAAATGCCTGCTTGAGACCTCAACATGACTCGGTGAGTTTTGGCCATTTTGAACAGGGTGTTCGCCTCAATGAGATTTACACTGATATCGGTCGAAAATTTGGCGATCGCTCAAAGATTGTGTTGGCGAGAGAATGTCTTGTTCGGCTTCAAGCGTCCGCCGAGTTTATTGGAGAACTGGAGGAAACCTTTGAAAACTACACTTCTTACATGGAGAACGGGAGGAAAATTTCACGCGACTTTCCATTCAAAGTTGAGGGATTTCATAACATTTGCCAAAAGGCTAAGACTCAGTACATGTACCGTGTATCGTTGACAAAAATGGTATCTACGGACCCTTGGCTTCGAAGTTCTTTGCCTGATATGCACGATGATTTGTCGATGGTTTACAAAACGCTTCATCAACACGCAGAAAGGGCTTTTTCGCTTATCGGGAATATTTTGCTTTGTGTACTGCGAATTGCTGAAAAATGCAAATGGGGTTTGAGTCGGCAAGAGTTAAACTGCGTTTGCCAAGGAATCGAAGATTTCAATCGACTTGTTGAATACTGTAAAAGCTTTAAAAACGATGAACATAAAATGCTGAGTTTAAGTGAGGAAAGTCGTTTTGCGCTGTCGAACTCTACTCAGGCAAGGTTAGGAGGCTTGTTGTTATTTCCAGCTGTTTCTACCTCTGCTGATCATGTTTGTTTATTAACCCTGAGCAAACTTTTGACTGGCATCGCTTTTGCACGCTCGAAAATATTGGCCGGGTATGTTCGTAAATTTGTAAGCGAACACCAAGAAGTTTCACGAGTACTGAAATACGACTTCGCTTCTTACTTTGAGTGGAAAGATTTCGGGGTTGTCTCAATCGGCGGCAACACGAGAACCGAAGGAGGCGCCCCAAATGGGGTATTGTCAGTTTTGGGTCGAAACCAAATCCCTCTCTTGAAACTTGACCCTGAGTCGCCCTTGTTAATGTTTGATTCACAGGAACAGTCATTTTTTAGTAATTTGATATCAAAACTTGCTACATCCACCACACTAATTTTGGGACGGCACATGAGCAGTGAAAAAAAATCTGTTGTTCTTCCCCCTCTACAAACCCCTAAGACGAAAGTTGTAACAGCTGCTGGTGGAACTGGGGCTGATGAGGGAGGGGTGGGTAGTAGTTTGGCAATGCATCCAGAAGGACATGGTATTCTTAGACATTCACCTGGACATGGGTCGCCAAGACTTAACAAGCGTGTACAGTGGAATGAGCCACTGGATGTGGAAACCATGAAGCAGATACAATCTCAGTACAGTGCAATGCTTTGGACCAGTTTTGGAGAAGAATTAATAGATGAAATTTCAGACATTCCTGGTTTTACAAGTGTAACAGAAAGTACCCTGGGACCATTGTTTCTGTGGTCGGACCTCCTTCAGATGGTTATTGTGAGGATGTTGGAGTCTTTGCGGCTTTCTGGTAAGTGCTTTATCATCACTTATTTTTGTGAGACTTAAATTTCGCAATTTTCGCAATTTAAAACATTTCGTGAAATTAAAGTCCTGCAAAAAAAAAAAAGATTGAAAAGGGTGAAAAATTGACTTCATTTGAAGAAGCAAAATTGAGTAACCTTAATAAAAACCTTTATTTAAATTTTCCGTCTGCTAGGAGCATGTAACTAAAACTGTAGGTCCCAAAACATTACAGATATGTCACACCTTGCAAAATATTTCTCTGCCTGTTTCCCAGTTTCAAATACATAGATGTTTTTTGTTCAATGTAAAATTCAGTTTGTTTTTAGGTATATATACAGGTGCTCTTATTTGTTTTGTAAAACTCCCTTATTAAGTGTGCACTAGTCACACGAAATGCTTAGGAGACAATAAAAAAATTTTACAACTCAAGAAGTTTGCAGAAGAGCTGCTTGCTGGATTATCCTTTTAAAAATGTTCTTAACAGCCCCTTGACAGGCAGTGCGGAAAGCGGCACTTTGCGAAAGGATGGAGCAAAGTGGGAATATCCTAACTTGTTCAAGGGAAGACAACCTTATCGCATAAGATCCATTTGAAAACATTGAGGCGATCCTTATCTTAAAGCTTATTGGCAGTGCCATCAAGCTAAATAGTGCCTCGATTGCTTATGTCAGTGTCCTTTTAAAAGATGTCATGTTGCTGACTTTGTTGAATGTTTCAACCAGTTGCTTGTTGCGTTTCTATTCCGTTGTAGTTAAATAAAATGCAGAAATGGAAGTTTTAAAAACAAGCGCTAGTGTACTTGGTTCGCAAAATTTAATTACCTTGAAAAACGGTGATTCTTCAAAATTGCGAATTTTAAGGCCCGCAAAATATTTCTATTCCAAATTCACAAAATTAAAGGCGCTCAAAAATAAGTGATAATAAGGTATGAGGTAATAAGGTATGTCTTACAGTATAGTGTCTATTATTATAACAAGGCTTATCTTTTCTGCTTTGAGTACACCACAATTTTTTTTAAACCTCCCGATGATAAGATTATTAGGAGTTTTTACAATATTTTGAGGTATTACAGTGTTAGACTGGGGAAGGAAAGTAATGGTTGGTTGAATTTATCAGGAGGCTCAAAAAAATATGGGTTTAAGATATCTGAAAATATACGGTATATTCCTAATAGGAGCAGCTTCAAATAAAGTCTATTTTTTACTCTTTTACATTACCAAAAATATTTAACTAAAAGGTGAGATTGGTTGAGCAAGGCTTTTGGGAAATATTAAGAAAAGGAAATAAAAAGCAAGTAGAATGCTGACTCATCTGCCTAATATCAGATTTCTTAAAGATTTTTTTCATACCATTGGATATTTGATCACTTTTTTCCCTTCTAATTTAATGTTTTACTTTTAAGTTTAATCTAAAAAGGTTGTTTTTGTGTTATATATCTTCTATATTGTTTTTGCAATTATGCTGACTGCTCAGAGATTCAGTAGATTTGGTATATGGCACATATTAAGTAGATCTAATATTAAAACAAAGTAGCATAAAGATTTTGCAATGTTGTTCTGTTGAGGTAAAGTTCTAGCTGCATAATAAAACTATGCAGTGGTCTCATTCTCCAACAAAGGTTGCAATGATTCCTTTCAGATGATCTGTAGAAGGACTAATCGTCTAAGATCGTTCACATCCTTTTGTGCATCAAAGGAACTGTTAAATCCCAAAGATTCATCAGAACCTTTGATGCGCCCTGATCTGAGTGATCTTCCAACATACCATAAATCCTAATCTGGATCATCTCAGAGGAATGCAACCGAAATCTTAGTCGACAAAAAGTCAATAAAAGCTTTCACAATATGCAGCATCACAGTTTGTTAATAATATTGTAGTGATTGTAAAGCTCATAACTAATATTGTGACGATCTAAAACACACAATATTGTGTGTTTTAGTGGTTTGGAACCTACTGACCAATTTGAATGGTTTGGATGTATAGTGATTGTGTAGAGCTATATATGACCATATATATAGCAAACCCTAATCCATGTGTGTTTGTAATGATGCCAGCAAAGCAAAAACAATTACCCATGAATTTTCTTGTGTTCCTTTGTGTAATTTTTTTTGCAGCTTTATCCGTAAAAATAGCAAATAATGCACTATTTGTTTTTGTGGCAAAGTTAAAGCACTTCATGAAATAAAAGTCAAAGAAGTAATGGATTAAGACAGAAAATAGCACAATGATCATCTGTCTGTGTAGATGCAATGTTGCTGTGACGGAAAAATGGCACCCAACAAATATATAAGTTGCATCCATCTTGAACAAAAAGAAATAGTACTGATGCTCAATGGAGCCATCTTATTGTCTGGACTGGTAATCTCTCATTACTGTTCTTAATTCTAGCAGATGGAACATTCTGGGGACTCTGCATTATCATCATTCACAAATTGCTGTTTATTTAGTGATGTTTTGTCTTTCAATTTAACCCTTGGTTCAAATTATTTGCTTTATGCTCAAGACAATATATTATCATGTGCCCAAACACAAAGGAAAACAAAGGTTGAAGTAAGGTAAAATGGAAGCCTGTGTATATGAACTTGTCTGTGTGGGGGTGGAGGGAGTCGGGGGGGGGCGGGGGGGGAGATCTGTAGAGGTGAATGGTATTACATTTTGAATAGAATGCCTTCAACAACCTTTTGCAAAGTTAGTCAACCCATATCTCTGGCACAAAATCCTGGGAGACCTTGTTTATTCCATCACTTTTACATCCTTATTAAATACGTTCATATCAATTTTGTGTGAAACATTAATGCCATAAATTTTTGTTTGTGTGCACCACGCAAAGTGCACTTGAAACGTTTCTCATTTTCACATTTTGAATGTACATTTACAGCTGCCTCTTTGTCATCACAAAATATATAAAAAGCTATGAGATGTGAAGACCACCTCTTTTATTGTACAATTTGTTAGAAATATCAATAGCAAAAATGTTTAAGTTAAAGAATTTTTACCATAAACAGCTCAGTTCCTCCAATGTTCAGTTGTTTCTATTCTAAGAGCAATTTTTATCATCTATTTTTCCCTTTGGTGGTCATTTAAAGAGTGCTTTTTAAAACAGAATTATAGGCGTGTTGCATAGGGTTCATTTTGCAGTCAGTCTATTATTTGCTTAAGAAAACAGGAGAATTCATTTGAATGATAGAAAAAAATATTACGAATGGCCAGTTCCACAGAATGTTTTCCTTTATCAATTTTGCACTGTGTACTCTTATCATGTACGATATGATGCATTACATATAAGAAGGAAACCTAGCAGGTGAATATTCTTTATGTGAAATTCTGATGTCTTTTTAATAATATTGTAAACCTGGAATGGCTACTGTTTTTATTTATCATTTTCTAGGATACATTTTTCCCACAAAACAAGGCCTCAAGGAATCATTTACTAGTAAAGTTAATATTCTTTCGCTTCTCTGATTAATCCCCTGAGGCCAGGTCAGGTGAAAATTATGCAAGGAAACCCATTTTGAACTATCTGATCTTGAGGTTGTGCTTTTTGTAAAAAAACAACAGAAAACAATGTTTTTAACAAAGCATGCAAGTATGTGGAAAATTAATGTCAATTGTATTTCTCTACACATATTTAATGTCGCAACATTTTTATTGGTGAAATGGGTGTGAATTTATCTTTGTCATTTAATATGCAATTGATTAAAAACCAAGGAACTAAACATGATTAATGGGGACTTAGAGATATGAAAGCATTTCTGTTAATTTCCATTTGTTTTGTGAAGCTAAATGGTAATTTCATTTAATGACAAACTACCATTTTCTGACTGCACTGAAGTTTTAAATAAAAAAAAAATCTGATTTGAATAATATTCAAAATAGTTAAACAGTTGTAACCATTTTGTTCTTCATTTTGATTATTTCTTTCTTGAAGAAAAAACATTGAAAGGGATCTTAGTTAAGACTTGACCCAGTGGAAGAGTAGTTATATTTAAGGTATAATAGGTTATGTTTACCCCACTTGGCAGAAGTACATATAGTTTTTCTTTGCCTGATGTTGTGTTCTCTTTAGTAAATAGAGACCTTTAGATTCAAGGATGAGAATGACTACAAGTATGAATTTTGACATAAAGTTTTTTTCACATATATTCTCATAAAAAAAAGCACCCCAGAAAGCTCCATTGTACTCTTTTTCATGAAAGAAATTAGCACAGTTACCTTTATTGAAGGAAGTTCGTCCTAAATATTTGTCAGTCACTAATTACACCTTATCTAACTTACTGTCTTATCTCTTGGGGCAACGTGTAAAACTTTCCTTGACCAAATTCTTGTCCTTCAAAATCGCGCACTGCATTTAATATATTTAGTTGAAACAAACGACCACGTAATACCTTTTTTTGTCAATGCAAAAATTCTTCCTTTACAGTCTCTATATTATGAATCCGTTTGTAGTCTTGTGTATGATGTAAATAAAAACATTGCTCTGGATAATATTTTGAAACTCTTCTCTCGAATTTCTAGTGTTCATACTTACAGTACACGTGCCTCAACCTCTGAACATTTTTATACTAAAGAATCTTGACTCAATGTCAAACACATGCTTTCTCGCATGTTGGGGTGAGAATTTGGAATGGGATACCTCAAATTCTTAAAGAAAGACCGAAAAAAGCTTTTAAAAGAGCACTAAAAGCAACACTTCTCGGTATCCTTCAAACTGAAGACTCCTATATTGATGTAGATACAATTAAAGTGAAAATGAAAAAGCAATTCTCTTGTCCTTTATTTTCATTTTATTCTATTTTTAAAATTCACTCCAATATTTTTCTTGTATTTGAGTAAAATAGTATGTATCTACTGTAAAATATATTTACTTGTGTAACGTTTAATTTCTTTGTATTTATCGAGTTTGTAGTAAATTATGTAGCCTGGCCTGCCTCAAATAGCCTTGCTAACTGCAGGCCAGTCCCAATGTATTTTTGTAATATATTTCCAAATTTAAATAAAGTTGAAGTTGAAGTTGAAACTCATAGTAGAATCACAATCACCAAAATGACACTGGTTCATGCAAATGCACTACCTAGTATTGAGAAAATCTTGTACTCGATTTCGTAGTTGTACTCGTCTTGTACTCGATTTGGTAGTTGTACTCGTCTTAAAATCTAAAGGTCTCTAGTACACAACAACAACAACAACTCATTGTACCCAAAGCAAGATATTACAATTATTTCACAAGATATTAGATGAAAATAATTAATTAAATAAGAGGGTACTGACTTCCTGAATAACTAAAAATTTAAAAAAGGCCAGGAAGCCAGATATTTCAGGTACATAATTTAAATAAGTTTATCATGGAAGTAAAAAATTATCATTGACAGAGTGGAAACACTCAAACTAGGACACTGTGAAGAAAGTTATCCAGTTATAAGGTTTTTCTTTTAAATAATAGAATCTGAAGGTTTTTTTAACGGGCAGTATTTTAACAATGTAATGGCTAAAAGTTTGACCTTGCTGATCCTTTTAAAAACAGGTTGTTTTAATCTTTGGTCGGAGTTGATCCTTAATTTTGTGAAAGTGCATGCAGGTTTTGACTAAAAACAGAAATGGTGTATTTGACTTGCTTAGCTAATTGGCTCTTGAAAGACCTTCCACTTGCCTCATTTGGCTCACGATCTCAGTTATAGCAGAGCAAATGTAATGAATTTATCTAGTATATCCAACTCATGTAAGTTTAGCAGTTAAGTGTTGGTAGCGAGTGACCAAGGCATGTTATAATATTATTATATAACAACGTCATGTTAACTTAAATATACATGGTAATGGTAATGTTATGTAATGTTGCAGATTAGAGGACAACTGAAAATTTTTTCAGCACTGTAAGCTCAACATCAGCATAGAAGGGCACCACTGGCTGCCATTTTCAGTTTATGATCTCATATGCACATACAAACATCTGTTCATTAATATTTGGAAAGGTCAGAAATAAAAGGCAGCACTAGGCTGATGTGGAATTTTACAAAGATTCATGATTACTCAAATAATTAATAGTAAATAGTTAAGAATATGTACATATTCACAAAGTACTTGTATATCCATAACATTTAAAGTTAGAAAAAAATAAACGTAGTGAGAATGCTTACCCTGTCTAACTCCTTTTGAGATGCTGAGGTAAAAGTCTTTGTATGTACACGGCCTTGTCCAGTAACATCCAATATAAAAGAGTCTCCTTTTTTAAATGTTTGTTTATCCTTTTATTAAATTCATCAACAATAGATGAGCTTAGGGAAGGTGACTGGGAAGATGTTGGAACGACAAGCACAAGAGCCGAGCGTGTGGGGTAACCATGACAACCCTGTGAGCAGCAACCACCAGGCACTGTCACACTGAAAAAACAGTGGAACAATGATACTTACCTCATGCTTACCACAGAGAGGGAGGGAGGGCAGGAAGTGAAGTCGCTGGGCACACAATGAAACAGGCAAAGAGCATGAGTTGATCTCAACAGCCAAGCTGTAAAACCACACAAGCCCCTGCAGCCCCCCCCCCCCCCCCCCCCCCCCCCCCCCCCCCCCCCCCCCCACAACACCCAACAAAGGTGGCGGACCGAAACAGAAGAGCAGACACAGACACAACACACCAAACCAAACCACAACCCCCCGCCTCCTGTCTCAAAAAAAAAAAAAAAAAAAAAAATGTCTAGCACGACTACACCAATCTGTCTACACATTTTTTTTTTTAGTATAGCAGGTCCCCCCCGGTGCAACACTCTCTCCCCACACCCAGCCCCTCCCGCCTTCGGCGGGCGACAAAAAAAAAAAGGACAAGGAGGTAGCGTTGCCCCAAACCCCCCAGCGAAAAACACCCCCCCCCCCCCAGCCCCCCCCCCCCCCCCCCGCCTCCACCAACCACTCTGCATAACCACAACAGGGGAAGGTTGCTGACCAGCATTGTTTTGCATTTAAGTTAGCTTTAATTACAATTAACCACATAAAACAAGACAGTTAATGTCTCTGCTCCTTTATGATGCATGTTAAAAGTGAGGTGACTTAATTATAAAACAAATAATATAAGTTGACGATAATGGGGGAGCACTGCCTTGCGCTAGGTTAGCCTGTGTGACTTCTGGCAATGGCATGGCCAAAGAACCTCACTTATCTCCCCAGCATTACAAGCTGAATGCAATACAGCACGTGCTGGATCGGACAAGAGTATCGCTTTGCAGGTGATATTAAATGGCAATGCGGCCAACAAGCTTGGGGGAAGTCTCTGGGCAGACTTAACCGCACTGCGAGGAGTGTCCCTAGTTTATTTGATGGCATAGCACAAAACAAAGCCCAAACCTCGTCTCCAAAGGGAGGGAGGGAGGGAGGGAGGGAAAAAGTTTTACAAGAATAGTATACTGAGCGCTTAAACCTTGCTGAACACTGGAACCCAAGTGAACTCTGAACAGTTGTTCTAGGCTTTTATAGGTAGACCAATGTCTGCTGGCATAGCCAGTAGAAAAGGCTGTACTACAAGACAGCTCAGCATTGCATGTGCAAACTCTTAGCCACGAATAGTGCTTTGAGAATATTGTCCAACGCTGGGGCTTGTACTAGTCTGCTTAAGACAATAAGGCCATAAAGTTCTACACTAGAATACAGTGCATCTTAGAGCTTGCTGACCTTGACAACCTGACTACACAATTGCTTTGTTGAAAAAGAACCACCATGAATGGGTTACTGATAACTAGCATCCCGTTCCATTAACTACATTTTACTGGTGTGACAGTAAAATTGCTTTTATACAGTAATGGTGAAAAATTATGCTTTTGTGTCATAACCAAACAATCCTAGGTGGGAAAATTTCTTGTAACAAGACAAATTACACGACAGCTTTTTACCAAGACATAAATTTATTACTCATTGAAGTAACTGCCTTAATGGTTGGACTCAAAACGCCTTATGACTGGTACTCTAGGCCTCTACAACTACTGGTGATATTAGAGCTCTGTAATTTAGCTTGATATATGTTTTATTTCCAAATACAGTCCATGATGTGATGCTGTATTAGTTTGGGAACTGTTTCTTCCAATTTTCATCATATTTATGTGCTTATCTATGCATAATTTATAAAAATATTAATTAAGACAAGAGCCAATTCACTTGAAAGCATCACATAACCTACATTGGCACAGCAGAATATTAACAAGCTAAAGAAATCTATTTAAAAACATTATTGTTGCAAAGTGTATTAAAAAGTAAATTTTTGTTTACAGGCTGTTTACCACCTGCTGGCGCAAGTTCTCTACAAGCTGTCAGCTGTTACATTCACTGTCTGGCCTCAGCATCAAACTGGGATTCAGGTAACAAAGAGTTATGTGAAAATACTACTAATAGTAACTGCAATGTTTTCTGCCTCACCGATTATATTGGTCCAAGGTCAGGGTAAGTGTTACGAGCCATAGGTGAAGACTAAGGCTGATAGCACTTACCCAGACCTTGATTATTCTGGATAACAGAAATGCGTCATGTAATTGTTGTTTTATTATACACGGTCATGGAGAAAATAATGACAAACACACTGTCTCATGGAACAAACTTTGTCATTGCTCTTGGAGATCATGCACTTGGCGCCAGCACACAACTAATTAATCATCTTTATAGGTTGCGCCGATTTCCAAACTTAACTGCTCTTACTGCTGTAGCTAGTGAGAATACACATAGTTGGTATAATGTTTGGTAACATTTGAAGATATTAATATTCTCATGTAATTGGCTTTTAAGCATTAAAGAGTTACTTTACAACACTTGGTTAAATATAAAAAATGCAAAAGAATGGCAGCCAAAGTTGCATGTTTGTTGAAGAATGTCAACACAGAGTGTTAAAAAAAAAGCCAGCTAAAAGAGGTCTGAAGCCAAAGCAAATAAGCCCAACTGGTTATTGTAGAATATGTGGCTCTCCATTAGATTATTTGAAATTATTCTGGATGATAATCCTACCCCTGCCTAACAGTTTTTTTGTTCAGCGCTTTACAGTAAAACCCTGTCAACTATTTATATTAGTAATGAAAGTTCAAATTGATTATTTTTAATATAGAGTTCATTTATTTATTGGTTTCAATATCACGTTCTTCAGTTGAAGAATTGGAAATTCAAATTGAGGCTTGATATGTGGTGTTAGGGAATCTGTTGTTTAACCAGAACACACTACATCACTTGCACATGAGACACACACAGGGTTCACACAGTCTTGAAAAGTCCTTGAATTTTCTTCAACTTTGAATGTAGTAGCTTGGAAAGTGTTCTTTGCTTTTTGGTTGTCCAAGACAGAATATGAATCATAACTCAGAGAATTTAACGGTTATTAAGTTTACCCAAAGTACTCAATGTTTTATGCAGTAATCAACAATTTAAGACAAGTGAACTGAAAAATATAGAGAGGTTGGTGAAGCAAACAGTTAAAGCCTAAAGGCTTTATTATAATAGTCTGGGGATGTGCATTTTTGTACAATCTGTGATATTATATTCCTAATAGGTGGTCCTTGAAAATCTAATGTGGTCCTTGAAAAGTCCTTGAAAATGGTTGCAATTTTTTGTATGTACGCTGACCCCCTTAAGTTATCCCATAACCATAAGGTGATATGAACCATCACAATAATTAATGCTTGCTTATTTCGAGCAAACTCGAACTAAATAATTATTGTTTTCTAAGCGACACTAGTCACTTTTTGCTGAAGAGTCATTGGTGCATTCTGATGATTTGCCATCAGTAGTACCTGGCTGAAGTATAAAACATTGTTGGGGACATACAATGTTCCCAGCTTAACTTTGTGAGGAAAAAAGAGTGTGGACACAGATTTTTATTTTGGATGCAAAGTCAGGTCATTTTCCTAGTTTAGCCTGCCCTTAAGTGGGAACTAAATTGTGTAAACTTAATGAACTCCACAATTTTGTCTTCAGCTTTTTGCAGTCTTCTTGTGACAGCAGGGACTGACAGATGCCGTATGGATGGTGACCAGCTTACAGATGGAGTTCCAGCCACACGGACAGTGTGTGCCATGATCAGGCTTCTTGATCCCCTGGACAGTATTTTAGAAATGACAAGTTATTGGAAACGTTCTTCCAACCAGCCAGATCCTTTGTCCAGCAGAGTTCCAAGAGTATTAGCACTATCACTTACACCAAGCCTTTGTCGCCTGCATGCCCTGCTATCTTTCACTTTGAACTGGCTTGACACAAAGATGCACCAGTTTTTAACCTCTTGGTCTTTGGAACAGTTTTTGTTGCTTGTGCAATGGGACCTGCCAATTATTTTAGAGTTATTCAAGAAGACTTTTAGCTTCATTCAATTATTGTGTGTTGTTCATGATCACAACAATAACTGGAATTCCCTCTCCTTGCACTATCATCGTTTACAAGAGCAGAAAAGCAAGTTGGAGGTTTGTGTGTTGGTTTTAATGACTAAAATAAAATTAAATACTTATTATGTACCAGTGTCAACAGCTAGTGTTATATAATCCACAATTAATGATTGTTTTTTAACAGACTACATTTATATTAGATCTTTGGGTCCTTTTGTCTTTCAATTGAAAACAATAGCAAAATATGTTTATTACTACGTTAACTAATTGGTGCTCATTGGCCAGATTCCAGACAAATCTGCAGGATCAATATGGAATTGTTGGGGCTAAATCGCAGACGTCTGTCCTGTGAGAGTGAGAGTCTTTCCCTGTAGCTGTGAGGAGCACGGAGAGACTGCTGTATTTGCAGGCTACCATTTTGCTTACCGTGTAAGGTGTATAATGGCTCTGAGGTAGTACCCTGCATGACCAGCTATGTTTGTTACAAGAGGAACACGAGCTGGAAGCCCCCCTTTTTCCTACATCATCTGCCGAAACTTAAGATGGTGTTATCATCTTTTAGGGACTGGTAAAAAAGTTTTGGATGCTGTTTTCAAACAATTTGACAAAGATGTCAAGTGGGTTCTTTCAAGAGGCCATGCCAGTTGGAAAGAGCTGGAAAAAGAGCCGACATTCAGGTACACTAAATTCTTTAATGTGAATTTCTCTTTAAAGTGCTCTTCAGTTTGCCTCAGTGTACAATTAATTGGTTTATCAATAATGTACATTCAGAATATATCTGGACTTTGCATAGACTCTGACTAGTATGGTTATAATCTTTAAATAATCCAAAGTTGTTATTTTAATAGCTTGATCAGAGAATAAGCTAATAAGTGTGTAATATGGAGCGAGAACTGTGAAAGAACATTCGCCTATTGAAACCATTATACTCAACCTTATTTTGTTAAACATTATAGGTGTTCCATATCAGCGTAGCACATATGTAGAGTATGCCATTCGTCAGATTTTGGAACCAGTTGTGGAAAGCACAGAAGGATTTCCACTGGATGGTAGGCTGAATGTGCTGACACTTACTGTGAATAGCATGATGGAGTCATGGAGTGATTGGATACTCAAGCAGGAGATTGTTTTCAGGTGACTTAGAGATGGGTTGCCTTTGGTTTCATCTATTTGAATTATTAATTTTATTTTGCCTGCTTTTAACATAGACAGCAATATGCATTCTGTTTTAATTCATGAACATTCCTTTGAAAACTACAACATGTGTACATTTGTACATTAGATTTTGTTTGCTGCCAATTACAGAAGTGTTGTAAACACTAATCTGGGACCCATTTTGTGTTATGACTGAAAAGCTAAATAGGAGAAGAGGCAGTGAAATAAAAAACTCTCAAGCAGTAGTTATCCCATATAAAAGGGTAGTTGATGCTGTTCACAAAATTGAAAGGATTCCAATCTGAGCTGGCTCTGGCATTGTGATCACCCCTACATGGTGGTGTATAGTGATTTTAATTATGGTGAAGTACAGTAAGTGAAGGCTTTCTCTCTTTCTTTTTCTTTTATTTCTTTGAGTGTAATCAAAGCAATACCCTCATGGGTCGAAAAAAAATGTTCGATTTTTAACCCCCTAGTTGACACCAAATAAAAAAATAAAATAATTATAATATATAGTACAGTATTAAAGCTCAGAATTTATGAAGTCCTTATTGGGTGATTCCAGAAAATATCCATACCCTACCACGGGTGGTATGAGTATTTTAACCCCCCCTTGCCCTCGGAAATTCCAAAATGCTTATCCCCCCCTTGCCCTCCGAATTCCAAAATCGCTAACCCCCCCTCTCCTCCGGAATTTTCCACTTTTGTTTCAGACCCTTTGGAATTCCTGTTCGTCCGCCTAAATCTTCAAACGAACGAGAAACTTGCACTTTTTCCTTCTGCAAAAGAATTCTGTTCACAATTTTTAGTCAGACGATCAAGCAACTCAAGTTTGTTAACGTTAGTACACCGTAGCTATTCCTTCTAAGCATTATCTTTTAGCTGCTTACCACCTAATAGAACTTTTTTTTTTCCATTCAATACCGTCATATTTTCAGGAGTAGACCGTATTGATACCAGTGGACGCAGACAAGAGTAAAGTTTACGATCGATATTCGATATTATAATTTTTTGAGGTAAACCTCTCCCCGACTCTTCCAGTTCTATTGGCAAATATACGTCCGTTTAAGGATATCAGCTCCTGGAATAAATAGTTATTTCGAGGAAAAATAACTATTTAGAACCGAATGATCAAAACACTTGCGCATAAACAGTTTTGAATTAAACAGCGCATCAAAAGGCACGCTGTCGGATTTTACTACCTACATGTTGGCGTGAAAATCGGCGTGAAATACAAAATCTGTCAGGCGTCTATTTGGAAACGAGAGACTGGTGCGAGTTTTCAGCACGCAACAACACATCGTCGATCGACAATCGGCGAGAAACACGGTTAGTGGTTCATGTATCAGAAACACCGACTTGGTTATATTTTTATTAATCAGTTGACTAATTCGTCAACTTTAAGGCCTCTTCGATGTGGAGCTTGCTGCACAACCCATCTGCTTACCCATCTGCATGAACGCATACTTCTTCCGTGGTCGGTTCGTGCTTCATTTGCAAACTGGGAATGTTAACAGGTCAGCGATTTCAAGCGGAGCTTTCGCCGTCTTTCCTCTGGAAATTCACTGAATTCAGAGCTGAAACACCCCCCCATGCCTTTGGAATTCCAAACTGGGTTACCCCCCCACGTCTTCGGAATTCCAGTCCAAGAAACCCCCCCCTCTCCCTCGGAATTCCAAGATGCCGCCCGTGGTATGGTATGGATATTTTCTGGAATCACCCATTATCCAGAAGCTTTAAAAAGTTTGAAGCATTTGATGGTTGATACTTTTGCTCTTCTAATCTAATGGCCAGGCCCCAGTTGTTCAAACATTGGATAGCGCTATCCACCGGATAAAAATCTGTTCAGTGGATAACGTAATTGGTTTCCCAAATACTTATCCACTGGATAGTGATTTATCCGGTGGATAGCGATATCCAACGTTTGAACAACCAGGGCCAGACGCAAGAATGAGGAAAACTAAGTCTTTTACTTTGCAGTTTATGTTTTTTTTTTGTACCTTGACTTGACTGGGTGTTTTAATGAATCACTGGTGTAAATACAAGTTGTTCCTGCTCCTAAACGAGTATGGGTACCCAAGATTTTATTCCAAAATAATTTAAGTTTGTACAACCCAAAAAAGCAGTACACAATGTTTGACAAAAATCTCAGTGCAGGTTCTATTTCAGAGGAATGACCTTAATGCATTCATTTTTAAAGTAAACACTTGATGTTCTTAGCTCCAACTCACTTTCCTAGCCCTATCAATATTACACATCTTAGTTTGGTATTTTTTTAAAATCTCAACAGCTTTTATGGTGCCCAGCAGCTAAGCCTAGATTTTGGTTATGTCAAAGTTTGGATAGCCTCAGACTCGAGTAACCTCTCATCTGAGATCCAGTCACACCTCTTGAACTTGGATGTTTTTCGGCATTTGGATGGTGCTATCAGGTTATTGATGCTGCAGCCAAGGAAAAAGAAACAATCTCCAAACAGCTCTGATGATCCAGAACTTGAGTCAAACGTCAGCACTATGAGTAGCAGTTCTGTGTTGTCATCATTATCTGGTGTGGATATTGATGCATATGACATTGATGTCCTGAATGACAAGACAATTCCCAACAGTCAAAAGTGGCTGGATCTGCGTCTACGTGGAGGCAAATCAAAGAAGGGCTTGCTTCCATTCTGCCTTAAGGTGCAAGAAATGAAGTGATATTTAGTCATTGATGTAGTTAGTCAGAATTATTCTGAACCATGATTATTGTTTGGCTTAATCTTAGCATGGCAATGTGAGGAGGAAAATATGATCCTGTTAACCTGCATTGAGCATGGCTTGACTGATGACTAATGATTCATAATTGTTGTATTTGACAGCTCATCATACTAATAATTTTGGTCAAAAATTAAGTTCCTCTAAGTAATTTCTTGTTAATGTGCATCCAGACTGCATCTGGGCTTGTTAAATTAATAACCTTCATTGTATATGGCAATCTGGAATTTATTTTGTCAGCCATTTTCATTCAATTTTATAACAGTCTATAAAGTTCATAAAACTAATAAATTATTGTGTTTGTGGACCAACCAAATCAACTTTGATGTCCATGTAGGTTTTTTTTTCATGCTCTGTAGCCATTCTTAGACACAGCCAATCAATAACAAATTGTTTATAAACAGTACTTGAATTAAGTGGTTCTATGGTCATGGTAAGTTATTGTTGTGTCCTGGTCCATAGTTTACCCAGACCATTTTAGATAGGTACTTCATCGATTCTTTGTCCTGGCTGTACATCATAAGGATAGGTTACAAATGAACGCATACCTTTCAAGAAACAAAACTGCAATAGAAAAATTGGCAATAGTGACGTCATCTTAAAAAATAAAAATCACACTTTTCCTTCCAAATTTTCAGAATGTGACTGTTGTATATTAATTTTGCCTGCCTGCCTGTTACATGGCAAATTTCGCAAAACAGTCTATTACTTTGCCTGATATTAATTAAATGGATATCTGTAGTTACAGTGCAACAAACTTCTTAAATCTTCTAGACTTTTGTCATATTTAAGTCCTTTCGGATTTGGTAAACTGTGACAATTTGTATTCTACCAATTATTCTACAATTATTGCATGTACAGAGCTTTCTAATTTTAAAAGTTTTTGGCAAAGCAAATTTATTTAAAAGAGTGCTAAAAATCTTATTTACCCCCATAGTAATTTATGATCTACCTTTTTTGAAAGAAAAACAGCAAACATTTAAGTAGTTTATTTTGCTGCATTTCGACATGTAGGGATGTAATATATTTTTCAGTCATCTTAAATTATTATTTTGTTGTATTTATTAGTTTCCTAGCTGAGTGTAAGCAATGTTGCTTGGTTCCTTGTATAACATTAGACAGCTTCAAAGGTATTCTTTTACCAAGACATCAAGCAGCGTAACAAGAAAGTAATTTATGGAGTATTTAACTATCAGTGATAAAAAAATTCTGATACAACTTTTCAGGCTCAGCCAAATATTATTAGTTAATGAACATACTAAATAAAGGAAAGTTCTAAATTGTCAAAGTATGATTTTAGTTATTTAATTAAAGCTTTGCTTAGTTTTCTTGCTTACTAATGCATAAGAGTACCCATCTGTATGTATACTGTGACACAGTTCAAGATAATTATTACTCTTAAAACTTTCAAGTCAACAATTGAGCAAACTAAAAGGTATTTTGTTCTGTAATCGAAACCTTGCCATATCTTTCTTGAAAAGGTTGACTCATCTTTGGAAGTCTTCAGGAATTTGATTAATACCGAAAAATTTCATAAAATTTATTGACGTGGATAATTTTTGATAATATCCAGACACTGGCATCTGTAAATTAGATGCCTTAATGGACCTGATTAGAGCTAGCATTTTGAGTCTAAGGACACTGGCTTCTGTCTTAATAATGGGGTTTTAGAAGCCTAGTGTTTAAATTCCGTCTGGCAGTCTGTATTAAAATAAATTAAAATATATTAGAAAACCATTCAAGATCAACAGTGGTGATAAATTAAAGGAATTACTAAAAATATCCAAGGGGAAATTCTTACATTCTTCATTAAACCTGTTATTTTTTTTTTTCATGATAATTTTTGAGCATGAAAATAGAACATTTCGTCGTTTAAAAACACTTAGATATTAACTGGTTGATAGGTTAGACTATTAATGTTGAGAGGGTACATTTGTTCCCTGTTCATATCCTAATAGCATGTGGTAAAATTGTTTGCCACATTAAAATAATATTATTAGTGTAATGGGTATGAGGATCTTAAAGTCTAGCTTAATGGTTATAGACTTGAAGACTTTCAACAAACTGTAACAACTTTGTCCTTTACTATAAGATTTTTCTCTAATGGTGGTTTCACTTTTCTTGTTCATGATAAAATTAAATATTTATTGAAAATAAAATGAATAGTACAAGTATTTGATATACGTCTCAATACTCTAGGACTAAAATTACTGTAAGCTTTCAATATATGGAGAAAGGTAAAGTGCTTGTTATTTTAAAATATTAGTAATAAAATTGTAACTAAGATAAAATAGTTATTAAATTCAAGTATTGTAATTTCAATGTGCATGTAGTTCTGATTGATTACCGTATTGTATGACTGTGTGGTGTTTCTTTGCTTGGCTTGTTAATTTTCTTTTTCTAACCCTAACCACCTTACTATTATAACATTCTTTTGGCCCAGCTGAGGGAAACAGACACCTACAGTCAGCTGCTGCTGCCGCTGTCTTTCAGTCTCTTTCTAGAGTTGGTCTTTGCCATGTTTGATTCATACCTTGTTGGTGCTTAATTTCGCGTTTTTCGTAGTTGTGGAAAAATCGCCAAATTAAAGACCCGCGAAAATAAATCCTCGCGAAATTTAATCCCCGTATAGAAAATTCAAAACAGAATTAGCTTGCAACAACATAAACAGGATATGTATGAACAAACACCAATTGCTAACTGGCACTGGTATGCTCCGATATGTATCTTCAGTCTAAAAAAAGACCAAAAAACTAAAATGAAGTTGAAAACGCTTTAATCGCGAATTTTTATGCCCTTTTTTCATATTTGCCTGCTAAAATTGCGAAAATAAAATCCCGCGAAAAACTATCTCGTCAAAACCGCGAAATTAAGTACTAATAAGGTAGCCTTTGGTAAGGCAGACAGTCTGCACTCTAGGGTGGACACTAAGTACCTGCTGGCCAACAGTATCTGTCCTTAGAGAGAGAGTTCCAGACTGACTTGTGCTACTGACAGTGTGTGTTGTGTTGTTCTTCCTGGGTTTGCTACTAGATAAATGCCTGGCGCCAGTTGTTCATAAGTTGGATAAAGCTATACACTGGATAAATCACTACCCACCAGATAAGGCAATCGGTTTCGCTAACTTTTATCCACTGGATAGTGATTTTGCTCATGGCGCCACCTAATGTTTAAACAATTGGACCCATTTGTTTGGTTTTTCCCCAGCCGCACATGGGATTCCAGTGAACATGCAAGTGTGTAATTCCCAACATGTTTCGTTAGGGTGGGTTTGTTGGATCCCGGGGAAGGAGGATACTCAACAAAGTTTTATACAGGGAGGCTCCACCAGAGGTTCAACCCCTTGCCCTTTTATAAACCATTTTGGACAGAAAAGGGACCCCTTTCGTACACCTTTTATTGACAAATGGTACCCCTTTCACCTTCTTGTGTAGAACGCTGTATCCCTATTAACTGTATTAAATGCACTGTCTTTTAAATATGAGTAAATCACGAAACCCTTCCGAGAATGCAACGACAGGTTTTCCTACCCTTTCATATATTTCAACTGGTGAAACCCCTACCCCCCCCCCACCCCCCTCATTGAATGGTACGAGTACTGTGATTGCATGCCTGAAATATACATTGACAGCAAACAAACTAACCTTCTTTGCTTCAATAATGGTCATTTGATAAATATTAATTAAAAGTGGATTTACTGCATCAAATAATCATGTTGGATCAGATTTGGAATGCAAAGTTCATGTAGCAGTTACTAGTAGAGAATGGGCCAAAGAAGAGTTTGAGTAAGGAGGAGTTGGTACTAAATGTGTCCTTCACCATCCAATGTTTTCTGGTACACTGCAATCAGTAGGCCAAAATTATACTGAAAAGGTCTCAATACCCTTTTGGGCATATTTGACAAAAAGGCGTTCATACCTGGAACCAGTTTTCATTAAGCATGGTACGTACCCAATAATTGCAACGCCCAAAAAGCACTTGCTGTGTTCATATTCAAGAATGCGGTTTCTCAATGTTTGTAATATTGTTGTTTTAAAAACAGAATAAAGTGTTGTTATAGTTTTGTAGATTTATATGGTGAAACTATGATATATAATGTTATGGCGGGTAGCAATGTAGAACTATGATACACAGAGAATTAACGCTGGAGAGAAATTTTAAGTGAAAATTGAAAATTAGAATGACGTAACATAACTCATATAATACAAGTGAAAGGGCTAAACCAATACTCATTTCTAAATGAAGAGTTCAAAAATCCGTACTAATAAATAATATTTTTGTATCCCGCTTGCTTACCTATTTACCCGTGCTGCAGTAAATGTTTACGTTATTTTCCCGTATGACTGCGCAGCCCTTACTTTTGCTTGTGTGGTCATTCCTCAGGATGGTTGCTGTGGAGGAAATTATTGGCGACAACGAGCCCAATGAAGTCTTCAACTCGAGCCAAGAACGAAAAACAGTATACTAATGTGTGAAAATCCCTTCAATTGATCCCTAATGGATTTTGTTCACTGATGACAGAATGATGTAGAAATAAGAAGACCCTTGGTGATAACAGCAAATGACAGTGATGACTTGCAGTAAAACATCAAAAGTTTACTGATTTTTATTATTAATTTTTATTATGCCAAATACCCTTCTTCTACTCATCCAGGACCTCGATTGTATCCTTGAGTTTCCAGGGCATAGATTGCTATTCTTTTTCCTTAATAGATTGATTAATCTCCCGACATTTTGATCCCAAGGTTCTTAAAATTAGGTTTTCGGATTTTTCATGGCTTCTGGCTGAATGTTTCTACATTTTCTTACCATTTGAATAATAGTTTTTCTTCTTGGTGTGGGTGGGTAACGGCTAGCGGGTATAGATGGAAAATCTCGTATTTCAGTTGGTCAAAGTTTGAGTCAAACTAACACAAACTGGTGGATAGGATAAGCCAGAACCATAATATGACCCGGCTTCTGGATAATGATCCTTGTTCAAGTTAACCGTATTTACTCGAATAAGCACCATAGCGCTTCTTAGTTTTTTCATGCCTTAAATGTGGTGGTTATTCGAGGGTGGCGATTATCTTTTTATTTTGAAAATTGGATCATGTAAGAAAGAATAATTATTGTTTCAACTACGAAATCATTATAACCAACAGAATCAACGTCTTTGGATTTTGATTA